TCAGTCACTGGGGAGCAGTACGGGAGCCCCATCCGTGGGCAGCATGAAGTGCATGGCATGCCCAGTGCCAATACACACAATACGTGGAAGGCCATGGAAGGCATCTTCATCAAGCCCAGTGTGGATCCCTCTGCAGGTCACGATGAACTCTGAGTGCCACGGATGGGTGGGGCATCTGCAGGACCACTCTTGGTGGAGACTTTGGGTTTGTAGGGGTTCTCAAGTGCCTTTGTGATTAAAGAATGTTAGTCTGTGATTATGTTTTGCTGTGAGTCTGGGGATGGGGGGGCGGGTAACCAGGGGGTGCCAGCCCTCCTGACCTGTTTCACCATCTCTCCCTTAGTGCAAAACTTTTTGTCTCCAACACGGAATGACAGCTAAACCCATCCAAATGTTGATTCATTCTTTCTTTCTTTCTTTCTTTCTTTCTTTCTTTCTTTCTTTCTTTCTTTCTTTTTTTAAGATTTTATTTATTTATTCATGACAGACACACACAGAGAGAGAGAGAGGCAGAGACACAGGTAGAGGGAAAAGCAGATTCCATGCAGGGAGCCTGACATGGGACTGGATCCTGGGTCTCCAGGATCACACCCCTGGCTGAAGGCAGCGCTAAATCGCTAGGCCACCAGGGCTGCCCTTGATGCTCTTTCATGTACTCCCAACATCGTCATCACATCACCCCTCTCCGTCCTTGGTCATCTGATGGCAGGTGACCCCAGTTCCCTAGCCCCTGAGCTTCATGAACCTTTCATGTTAAGGCCTCATACCCTCGCTGCCTGGGCATGTGCCATCTTAAGCCCCTGGTGCAACTTTCCAGGGTCCCAAGGAGATAACAAAACTTCAAAAGTATTGCCAGGGAACGTAACCACAAAGAACTGCTACCTGCCGAGATTTGAGAAGGTTTCTTGGAAGGAGAGGCACAATTCCCGCAGGCAAAGCATTGCAATTTAAAGGCAGGAACAGTAGGAGGGCCGCCCTAATAAAGGAAGGGAAGTTAGTTTTGCTGGTGTTTATGTGACCTCTAGAGGTTATGGAAGGGACTACAGGCTTCCTGGACTTGCTAATTGTTCCCAGGGAGGCTGAATATGTAGGAGGGGAGGGATTTAAAGCTGCTGCTGGGGGTACAGAGTGCTACTTTCCTGAATGAGAGAATTCAAGAGCCCAAGGAGAAGCTGGGGGGTAGCAAGGAAGGGGCTTGGAGGAGTGTGGGCCGAGCACTTTGCAGGTCAGAAATCAATTGGCCTTATGGGGGTGGGTGCAAAGCTCTAGCCAATTGTGAGACTTGATGGGAGGTGGGTCATACGTAGGCCCTGGACCATTACTTCCCCACCCTCTCAACCCATGAGTCCTGCTCTGGGCAAACACAGACCTCCTGAGCCCTCCACTGCCAAATCTCTCAAGCATTGTCTACAAGTTTAAGCTCCTCTCCCGTCACACACCTGACCTTCGACAGTATTGCAGTATAACCAGATTAATAGCAGAATCAAACAGTGTACAGCATGTAGGAATTCTTGAGGAGCCAAGGCTGGAGCTGTGGGAGCGTGTAAGATGGCTCTAGACAGAATGTAGGAGAAGACCAAAAATTAAATTGCAGCAGCAGCAGCAGCAGCAGCAGAACACTCATTTACTGAACACTGTCAGGCATTTGGCCAACGATTTACACAGCATCTCATTTGCTCCTGGCAACAACTCTGTGAAGCAGGTTCAATTGTCTTAATTTTTCAGAGGAGGTGGCAGGTTGGTAAAGATTGAAACCCAGCTCTATCTGCCTCAGAAACACTTGCTCTCAGCCATTGGGCTGAGAGAATAAAATGGGGGGGGGGGCGATGCACTGTAGCCTAAGCAGTCCCCACCCCCCTGCTCTCCCCCCCCCCACTGCAGCTGTGAGCGCTGAACCGTGTATACATCCTTCTGGGTTATCAGCCCTGGGTACGCACTTACTCAATGCTTATCCACAAAGTGTATAACAATCTGGGGGCTGGGGGTGGGGGTGGGGAGACTCAAGCCGACATCCTCTTGCCCGCACCTCCCACAGATCCACAAAGCTTCACGGGCTCTAGGACCCGATCTCTGCAGCTCAGGCCTAACGGGGCAGCTTCAGGCAAATCCGAGCACTCGAGATGGGGTTAGGTGGGGAGCGGGGGTGCTACCCCATCCGGGAAGCCCATTGCGGTCGAATGTCTCGTCTGGGAGGCACGGGGAGCGCTGTCAGCGCACAAAGCGAAGCAGCCCGCGGCCCTGCTCCACAGAGGACGAGACTGGGGGTTCGGGCGTTTTCCTAGGATCGCAGCCCTCTTCCCCGTGGGCTCAGCTGCGCGGACGGCGCCCCCCTCGGGGCTCCCAGGCGCTCTCGCCCGCGCCGCTGTTAAACTCGCGGAGACCAGAGCTGAGAAAAGGCGGGCAAAATTCCTTTTGATAAGTTATGAATGGGGAGACGGTGTTTGTAGTACTCATTGTTAAAACCACGGAGCCGGGGCCTCGGCCCGCTCGCGGCCAATCGGGGCCCGGAGGCTATTTTGAAATCGCTCCGCTTCCGGCCAATAGGCGCGCGGGAGGCGAAGCCCCGCGCCGGCTCCGGCCAATGAGCGCCGCGTTATGCTAAGGAGCCGGGGGCCGGGCCCGCCGACTGTCAGCGGGTTAAAGATGGAGCCGGCGAGCGAGAGGGCGCCACGAGGTGCGGGGTCGTCCTGACGCGGGCGGCGGGGGCCAACAACCGCCGGGACCTTTCTCCCGCTAACCGCCCGCGCCCTGCCCCGGCCTGGTTCGGAGCGGGGGTCCCGCCGCGTGAGTAGCCGGGCCCGAGGAGGAGGGCACAGGCAGGGCGATCCGACCTGGCGGGACCGTGCGGAGGGGCGCAGCCCGGACCCCCGGCGCCCTCTCCGGGCAGAGGGCTCCAGAAGGGCGGGGAGCCTCCCTGGTCCCCTTGCTCCGCTCTGGGCCGCCAGGCAGAGAATCTGTGGGACTGAACGCGGAGCCCAAGTTGGGGGCCAGGGGCCAGGGATGGGGGCCTGAGCCAGCAGGGGCGCGTTCGTTAATGGGGCCACCGTCCTTCTCTTGGGGCCGCGGGCCCAGTGAGGGCGCAGGATCGTCGGGCTGGACCCACCCTCGCTTCGTGCGCGAGTGGGCTTCGGACTGCGGTAGAGCGCGGGCCCCTCTCCTTTGTGTGCGCGCCCCCTCCCCCGTCCGCTCCCGCTCCTGGGCTGGAGCTACCCCTCAGTCTGGGGTCTCTCCCGCACCGCACTGTGGAGCGCGCGGGGGAAGGTCTGGGACCTTCCGACGACCTCCTGGACCGCAGCCCTGCCGAAAGCCTCCTCCCCACCCTGGGGTCCAGGACCGGGCCTCTAGCCCCACCCACCCACGGTTGAGCTTCCCGCCCTGAGCTTATTGGGGGCCGCGGAGTCCCCCCTGCTGGCCCCAGGTGCTCTGACGAGGTTGCACTACTGTGCTCTGAGAAGCAGTGCAATGATATTGTCAAAGCATTGGGGACCAGCCTTGGGGACGCCCCCCCTCCCCACACCACCAACTCCCTCTCCAGGCCGGGCCCCTTGGGCCTGCAGGCCCTCCCCTCCCCCTCCAGAGCTCGCTCCCTTCTCCATGGAAACTTGAGATCTCGGCCAGGCCTGGGCCTCTAGGGTCAGAGGACACCCTTCCCCCAGGCAGAAGCCCCACCCCAGTGGGCCTGCATTCCTGGCCTCAGATCCTCGTACCACCACTGAGAGAGGCGCCGGCAGGCCTGCCTGACACTCTTTCCCTGTTGCACTACTGTGGGCCGCTGGGAAGCAGTGCAATGATGAAAGGGCATCGGTCAGGCCCACCCCACCACCCATAGTCCCTGCATGGAGGGGAGGGAGTTTTCCTGCCTCACTCCACTTCCTAGCAGCTAGGAGCAGGCTGGACCCTCCATCACAGGATTTGGTGAGTGCAGAGCTGGGGGATTGTCCCACAAATTCTCCTTCAGGGTTATGGCGGACAGGAGCAGGGACAGAGGCCCTGGATTCAGAAAAGCTCTGGTTTGAAGATCTTTGCACACCAACTCCCTGGGTAAGATTGGGGACCCCAGGTTTGGTCAGGGCCTTGTGGAGAAATGGAGACCCCCAGTGTTGCCTGACTTAGATCCAGCCCAACTTTGACTGTGTATAGGTGAACTACACCCAGCCCTCCTTGGAGGCTTGGGGAGGGTCAGGTTCTAGAGGAAACCTGGGTTCTTAGGAGCAGTACTATTTGGGGTGGGTGGATGGACTCGGGCTAAGAAGCCCATTAGGTGATTCCCATCAACCATGCCAGCTTGTTCTCTTACAGGGAGGTATGCTGCCCTGAGACTGCAGGAGGGACCAAGAGGTGCCTGGCATGCCCATCCTAACAGCTACAACCAGGGGGATTGCCAAGGAGCCAGGCCCTAGGTGTGCTTGCAAGGCCACCTCCTCCATCAGGACCTGCCCCAATGTAAAAGGCTTTTATGTGCCCAGTGACAGTCATCCAAGCCTGTCTCCTTTGAGAGGAGGCCTAGGTTTCCAGATGGGCATTTGGGAGTATCCCTCACCCCTGGCAGGGCACATCAAGATGTCAGCTTCACCCCCACCCATCCTGGGGGAAGGAAGATTAGGCATCGATGGCTGGAGGTGGGCATCCTTCCTTCTGTGTAGATTCTGTGCCCGCCATCTGGAGACCCTCGTACAGCCGTCTCTGGCCCTTGCTGGTGGATGCTTGTGAACTCAGGGCTTTGCTCAAATGTTTCAAAGGAAAGCCTTTCCTGGGCTCTACAGCATCCAATATCCCTCCAGCAGAGCCTGTTAGATTGACCTTTCTCATTGTGTCTGAAGTCCTCATTAGACTGGGAGCCCTGAGGGCAGGAACATGTCACTTTTTATATTTCTCTTGGCAGTGCCTGGCTCGGAGTTGGGGGCCAATACAACTTTAAAAAATACAACTAAGTACATACAGTGTGAAGTGTTATTAGCATAACCTGGGGGGGGGGTTAGTTAGAGTCTGCTTGACTCCTGAGAGGATGCTTGTGCTGTATATAAAAAAGTCTATACTATGTATTTCAAAGTAAAGTCTTACTTTAAAAGTCACACAGGGTCAGGAAGTAGCATGAAGATTTGAACCCATGTGTACTAAGTCTGTTTGCACCTCTGGGCTAAAATTTGTTTCCTCCTTGGTTGCTTCCATCTTGCTCTCTGACCTCAAAGCAGGAGGAAGTGAGGGCCATCTCCTATGTTGTTGGGAACAGCAGAACCTAGAGGGTTGGTGGTTTGGCAGTGGGTGGTAAAAAGTCTCTTTAGACTTCTCAGATACACTCCATGGATCTCAGGTTGAGGGGAGTGAAGGGCTGTGGAGGCGATGGAGAGGAAGCAATCCAGGGTGTACCCCCTCATCGGTGGCTGGGGTGAATGGTGCTGACAAGGCTGGCCAAGTAGGAGAGCGAGAAGAGAAGCAGATTCGGGATCGGGAGGGAAGAAGCTGTGTGCCCACCTGAATCTGTTCAGCGTGAGATGCCCAAGAAACGTCCCCAGAGGAAACTTGGATGTGGTCGCGGACCTCAAGGGAGGCCAGAGCCTGAGACGCAGGTTAGGGTTAAGTCAGCTCTGAGTTGGGACCAAGAAGTGGGGTAAGATCATCCGAGATGGTACCACAAAGACGGCACTTGGGAACGCATAGGGAGCCCCTGGAGATGCTGGTGAAGAGGCAACCGCGAGTAGAGAGAGTGGTTGGTTATAGGGGGGAAGAGAGGATGGAAACTGGGGAGGGCTGGGTTTGACGTAGGAGAGTTAACCGGGAAGGACGGGCGACGCCTGGGGCCAGAGGAGTTAGGGGCGGAGTGAAGTCCTTGGGGTGCTGTCTACACACTGCGCGGGAGGGAGGGCGAGCAGCCGGACTGGGGAGGGGGGAGGGCCTTGAGGGCGTTTGGAGGGTTCGGGCGCCGGCCATCTGTCTGCGTGGCACTGGCCCGCACCCCCCTCGCGCCCCGCGGAACCCCAGCGGGAGCCCCCCTCCCCCGCGCGGTTTGCCCCGTCGAAGGCGCCAGGGCGCATGCCCAGAGCGGTGGGCATTGTCACGTGCAGCCGCCTGGCGCGGATTGGCTCCCGGCTCGCGAGCTCCCGGGGGATTGGCCGGGGCGGGGGAGGCTGCGGCGGCGCGGCGGCTGTGGGGCAGACAGCAGGTGCGGCCCCGCGGCCCCCGCGGCCCCCGCGGTCCCCGCCCCCGGGGCCTGCCCCTCTCCCCGACCCGAGGCGGGTGCGGGGCGGCGCGCCCTGAGCCCCGGAGGCCCCGCCCCGACGGCCGCCCTGCCTGCCCGCAGCCCGCAGGGATGGAGGTCCTGGACGAGTTCGACCGCGAGTTCCCCCAGAGCGTGACCTTCTGCCGACTCATCTCCGAGGAGGACTTCGAGAGGCAGGCGGCCACCTGCACCGAGCGCGCGCTGCGCCGCCTCTTCCGCAGCATCGACCGCAACCCCGCGCTGGCCGAGAGGGTGGTGCGCAAGGCCAAGCTGGCCGAGTACGAGCGGCGCGGGCTCTTCTCCTTCTTCTGGGTGCGAGCCGGCGCGGGGCCCCGCCGCGCCCCGAGGATGGGCGATGGGGGTGGGGGGGAGCGGGCAGGGCGCCTTGGGGACTAGCTGGAGCTGCACGGTCTTCCAGAAACCCCAGGCGCCCCAGCTGGGGAGTGCAGCGGGCCGGCGGCTCACGCGCCGGGCTTCCTCCTGCCCTGCCTCTCCCCTGGTCGTAGGCAAAGTTCTTCTGTGCAGTTCAGGGGGAGCTGAACTGTTGCAACAGCATGGGTGCCCTGGAGATGCACCAGCGCCTGGAGCAGCTGAAGAGGAGCATCCACCGCGTGCATCTCTACTCCCAGGGTGAGGCTCAGCCTCTGCCGGCCTCCAGTTACCCCACAAACCGGACCCATGTTCCCTTATCCCTGGTTCTGTGCTTGAAATCTAAAAAAAAAAAAAAATAATAATAATAATAATAATAATTGGTGTTTATTCTTAAAGTCTTTATTATGAAAACAAACATACACAAAACTGGAGACTGCAGTGAACACCCGGGTACCTGTCAGCCTTCAGGTTAAGCAGCTATCCCCCATCTTGCTGTGCTTGCTTCACTCTTTATACCCGAACCCTTCTTTCCCTTTTCTTTTTTCTTTTCTTTTCTTTTCTTTTCTTTTCTTTTCTTTTCTTTTCTTTTCTTTTCTTTTCCTTTTCCTTTCCTTTTCTTTCTTTTCTTTTTTCTTTTTAAGATTTTATTTATTCATGAGAGACAGAGAGAGTCAGAGGGAGAAGCAGGCTCCATGCAGGGAGCCCGACCTGGGACAGGATCCTGGGTCTCCAGGATCAGACCCTGGGCTGAAGGCGACGCTAAACTATTGAGTCCCCCCAGGCTGCCCTCTTTTATTTATTTTTTTAAAGATTTTATTTATTCATAAGAGACAGAGGCAGAGACACAGGCAGAGGGAGAAGCAGGCTCCATGCAGGGACCCCGACGTGGGACTTGATCCCGGGTCTCCAGGATCATGCCCTGGGGTGAAGGCCGCGTGAAACCACTTAGCTACCTGAGCTGCCCCCCTTTGCCTTTTCTGGAGCATTTTAGGGGGAGTCTCAGACACCCTTTGTATTCTTGGATACTTTAGAATAAATACTAAAAAATATTTTGTAATCACAATGTTCCCCAGATATAATTTACAATAACTTCTTAGCATAGCTGATACTTGGTTTGGTTGTTATGTCCTCTGAGGTTCCTTTTCACTAGGAAGGCCATATACTCTGTGTCCACGTTGGCACACTTGTGAGAGTAAAATGGCAGGGGCCACATTAGTGACCACATAGGGATGGCAGGTGATGGATGGCCATGTCTGTTGAAGTCCCTTTGAGGTAGGGTGCCCTCACCTTACTCCTTCAGGCTGTCAACTTGAAGAACTGTGTTGTTCTTTGGGGCATTCCACTTAGCGGATTTATATCTGTTGTTGGGGTCCACTGGTGCTGTCTTGTTCCTCTCTGCCTGTATTTCTTGGACAGTTGCTCTAAAGCCTTGATTAGATTTGGGTTCAGTTCTTTGTGCGTTTGTCTTCAGTGATACACTAGCTAGTGGCAGAGGGGCTTTCTTTGTTGTATTAGGAGGCCCTGCTCACCTGGGAGACCCACTTTCCCTGGTGCTGAGTGTGAATGCTCCACCATTTCTTCTGATGGACCCACGGCATATATAGCTCTTAACGCAGCCTCCTGAGGTAGTGTCAATTCTCTTTAACCTCATTTTACAGAAGAGGACATAGAGGCCCAGGGAGGGTAGCCAGCTATGTGCAACAGTGTCACATAATAGAGTCTGGACTTGAACTCAGGTTTGGGTTGCCCTGGGGCTCGGGCTTTTAGCCTCCAGGTGCTCCCTGGTGGTGGTGATTGTCATTCTCAAAGAGCCCTTTTATTTTTTTTTTTTAATTTTTTTTTAATATTTTTTTATGATAGTCACAGAGAGAGAGAGAGAGGCAGAGACACAGGCAGAGGGAGAAGCAGGCTCCATGCACTGGGAGCCTGATGTGGGATTCGATCCTGGGTCTCCAGGATCGCGCCCCGGGCCAGAGGCAGGCGCCAAACCACTGTGCCACCCAGGGATCCCTCAAAGAGCCCTTTTAATGGGCTGCATGAGGTACTTGTTCATACCCACTTTGCTGGTGTCCTCTACTCTGAACAGTAGAATAGCCAGAGTTGTTGAATATAGGAAGAAAACCTAATGTGGAAAGAGGAGGGGGGCAGGCCCCAGAATCCTGCTACTCAAAGATTCCTTCCCTGAGCCCACCTCTGTAAGGCCTCCTATGTCTGGATTTCTTTACAGAGAAAGGAGCTTTGTAGAATCTCAGGATGGCCCTAGAGTTGGGTATAGTTGGGAACTCACTCCCTTGTCCGGGGCCTGGACACCCCACAAAGGTGCTGGCAGACTCAGGAGCTTTCCACAATGCTTGGGGGTAGGTAGCAGACTCACCTGCCTGGGACAAGTCCTGCCCTCCTTGGTGGTGATACTCTGTTACTTCCCCTGAAATTCTGGCCTTGAAGTTAGATAGTCCGGGTATAGATCCCGCCTGTGGCTTGCACAGTTGGAGCTTCCAGTTCTTAGAAAGACAAAAGTACCCTTCCCTCATGAGGTGATATGGGGTCGGTGAGATAGTACATGTTGGTGCCTATCAGTGGTGGCTCTCGACCTTCTTATGTGGTACCCCTTGGGCGAAGAACCTTGTGAAGAACCTACACCATTGTTTGGCCTCCACTCTACCCTATTTTGGCCATGGGGTAGACACTCATTGGTCTCTTTTGTCACAGATGCCAAGAAGAAGAGAAGAAAGCCAAAACTGAAATCAGAACCCATCCTCTTGCGAGATCGGTCAACCTCCCCATGCCTGGCACCAACCCTGCTGCCACCTCCACCACTGCTGTCACCTGCCACCACCATGGCCTCCGTGGTGGCCCCATCACCTCTTGTCTACACTATGCCGAGGGTCTTTGGCCCCTTCCCTCCGCTGCCCAGCAAATCGGTCAGTGAGCTCATCTCCCATTCTACGTGGTCCTGGGAGGGGCAACCTCTGCCCCTCTGCTCAGAACCACCCTAGAGGCTCTCCCAGGCTCACAGCCAGCTAACTCTGAGAACTTTGTTTTTAAGCAGAACTCTATCTGCGGGCAAAATCTTGGGTAGAACATGGATGGATAAAGCAGATAAAAGGGGCGTGGGAGATCTGCTCTGGTTGAAGGATTGGAGGCACATAGTTCACCTGCTTGGTCTCAGCTGAGCAAAGCAGCTACCAAAACACTGGGCGGAATCCTGGGGTGCCACCCCTGGACATCTCCAGCCCTGTGCCTGCCCCGCCTCATGGGTGGTGTTCTCCTTGCCACTTGCTAAGTGCTTCTGCGTTGCTCTCCTAACGGTGCTCCTGCCTTTCCTGTCCCCTGCTTATCCAGCATCTCACTCCAGGCAGCCCCCATCCCATCCCCGTACCCCTAACACCAAGCTTGAGGTGGGTGCCTCAAGGATGATCCCAGTGTGTTTGCTGGATGAATGACGGTCACATGGTTCCCCTAGTTCTTGTATAAGGGAGTTTCTGTTTCCAGTGAGGCCCCCAGACTAGTCCTAAGGTTTCCTTTGTTTCCTGCAGATGGAGAAGTTGGAGGTTGCAAGGTCAGAAGTGAAATTAAACTGGGCTGGCCTGTCATCGAACCCAAAGAGGTGGAAGGAATTGATTCTGAGTTTGGGGAAAATGAAAGGAGCATTTTAGGGAGCATGTTGTGTGCCACACTTGGTTCCCATTCCCCCCCACCTTATTGTTAATCCTCATCACAATCCTGAGGGGCTGTTATTCCCATTTTACAGGGAAGGAGGCGAGGCTCTGGGTCTGCTCTGTGTGCGGGAGTCCCTGTGGGAGGGCCTGCCTGGGAATAGCCCAGAGCTGATGTTCCCCTCTCTGCCCTGTTTTGCAGCCACATGGTTGATCTGACTCCCTTGGTCCTCAACCCCGGAGGCTTCCATTTCTCATACCTGACTGGAAACAGTGTGCACAAGCTCCATTGCCCTGGCTTCCCCTGGTAAGCATGCCTCTGAGCCTCTGTGGGGCCAGACATCATCCTGGCTTATGTGGCTTGATGGCATCATGGCACAAGGGCCAGAAAAACGTTCTTTGCATTTCATGAAAGGACCCTAATGTAATCAGGTACTGGAAAAGTCACTCCCCCTTCATAGTGTTTGTAATGAGCAGAATTGGAGACAAGCAGTTCAGAGACTCATTAGAAAGGGAATAAGTCCGTCAACTGTGGGCAGCCCTAAGCTTTATATATATCTGTTTTACAAAGCAGGGATTTATTGAATATGTGGTTTGTTTGTTTTAATCACCTGTTTTTTGCTACTTACAGTGTTGTCGAGTATTTCCATGGCATTCTATGGAGTGTTATTTCAAAGTGTATATTTAAACTGGCTGCTTCATTGCATCGAATGACTTTTGTTTTTTTTTAAATAGCTGTTGTTTAGAGGAGTTTTAGATTCACAGCAAACTGAGAGTGTACTGAAAGTTCCTATATACCCCCTGCCCCTACACAGGCACAGACTCCCCCACTATCAATATCCTTCACCTTACAATTAATGAACCTACATTGACACATCATTATCACCCAGAGTCCATACATTGGGGCTCACTCTTGGTGTTGTATGTTCTGTGGGTTCGGACAAACGTATAATGACATGTATCCACTATTCTAGTGTCCTATGGAATAGTTTCCTCAAAATCATCTCTGCTCCAGCTGTTCATCCCTCCCTCTGCCCTAACCCTTGATGACCACTGATCTTTTTTACTGTCTCCATAATTTTACATTTCCCAGGATGTTATTTGCTTGGAATCCTATATATATAGCCATTCCAGATTGGCTTCTTTCACTTACAGTCCCTCCATGTCTTTTCATGGCTGGATAGTTCCTTTCCAGCACTGAGTAACTGGATGTACTGCAGTTTATTTATCCATCCACCTACTGAAGGACGTCTTGGTTGCTTCCAAGTTTTGGTAATTATGAATAAAGCTGCTATAAACATCTACGTGCAGGTTTTGTGTGGACACACGTTTTCAACTCTCTTACCGAGGAGCAATGATTGCTGGATCATATGGTGATAATATGTTTAAAGAAACTACCAAAGTGGCTATACCATTATATATTCCCACTAGCAATGAGTGAGAATGCAAATGACTTCTTATGTAAGAAACCTACACAGTTCTATAAAGAGGATTCTAAATTTAGTTGATGGAAAATTTATCCACGAAGGCACCCAAAGTGTAAGCAAACCTTTAAAAATGTTTTTGGCTTCCTTAGTAGTGAAAGATGTACACATTAAGGTTGCTAGGATGTATATTACATACCTATTAAAAAGCCCTAAGTAAAGAGGATCCTGTGCTAGCAAGGCTTTAGGAAGAGACTCATTTTTCCTGTGAAAATACTATAAATTGACTTTGTCCTTTTAAAAATTCTTTTATTGAGATAATTTGCATATAGCATCATATGAACTCACCCTTTTATTATTTATTTATTTATTTATTTATTTATTTATTTATTTATTTATTTATTTTTTGAACTCACCCTTTTAAAGTGTCCACTCTAGTGGCTTTTTATATATTAACATTTGTGCAATCATCACTACAATCCAATTTTATTTTTTAATTTTTTTGAAGATTTTATTTATTTATTTGTGGAGACACACACAGAGAGAGATAGGCAGAAGGAGAAGCAGGTTCCCTGTAGGGAGCCCAATGTGGGACTCAAACCCCAGGACTGAAGGATTACGCCTTGAGCCGAAGGCAGATGCTTAATCGCTGAGCCACCCAGGCGTCCCACCAATCCAAATTTAAAACATTTCCATCATGTCAAAAAGAAGAGAGTGAAAAGACAGTGGGAGAAAACATTTGTAAATCAACAAAAAAGAACCATTCCAAAAAAATGGAAAAAGGACTTGCATTTCTTCAAAGAAGACATACAAATGGCCAGTAAACACAGGAAAAGATGCTCCACATCATTAGACATCAGGGAAATGCAAGTGAAAACCACAGTGAAATACCACTTCACACCCACTAGGATGGCTGTCATCAAAAAGACAATGTTGATGAGCATGTAGAGAAATTGGACCTCAAGTGTGTGGTTGGTGGGAATGTAAAATGGTGCAGCCTCCGTGGAAAAAACATTTTGGATCCTCAAAATGTTAAACAGGATTACCATATGATCCAGTAATTCCATTCCCAGGTATATGCCTGTAAGAATTGTAGAGACTCAGATACTTGCACATGAATGTTCATAGCACCAGTATCAGTATCACAGTGGCCAAAAGGAGAAAACAACATAAGTATATCCAAGATGAACAAACTGTGATCTATCCATATAATAGAATGTTGAAACAAAAGAAGCCAGTGCAAAAGGCCAAGTTATTGTAGTTCTTGTTACATGAAATAAATAGGCAGAGGCCTAAAGACAAAATAGATGAGAGGTTACCAGGGACTGGGAGAAGGAAATGAGTTGTTGCCTAATTGGTACTACAGTTCCTGTTTGGGGTGATGAAAAAGTTCTGGAAATAGATAAGTGGTGATGGTCACAGGACATTGATGAATGCCACTGAATTGTATACCTAGAAATGATTAAAATGGTAAATTTTATATATATTTTACTACAATTAAAAAAGAAACCTTAACACCACTTAGCTATCACCCCCAATTCCTCCATGCCCCAGCCCTAGCAGCTATTAACTACTTTCTTTGTGGATATGCCTGTTCTGGTCATTTCATATAAATGAAACCATACAATAATATGATATTTTGTGACTAGCTTCTTCCATTTAGTGTTTGCAAGGTTCATCAACATTGTGGCATGTGTCACTACTGAATCTGTTTTAGTTGGCAGGATAGTTTATTTTTATTTATTTGTTTTTAAAGATCTTATTTATTTTGGAGAGAGAGAAAGCAAGTACAGGAATGTGAGCAATGGGGGTGGGGACAGAGGGAGAGAGAGAATCTCAAGTAGACTCTTTTGAGCATGGAGCCTCACAACCCTGAGATCATGACCTGAGCGGAAACCAAGAGTCGGATGCTTAACTGACTGACCCACCCAGGCACCCCCAAGATAATATATTTTATTTTTTATTTAAAAAATATTTAAATTTGAGTTAGTTAACGTGAATTTCCTGTTTTTTTTAATCTCTTTTTTAAGACTTAATTTTTTTTAGAGCAGTTTTAGGTTCACAGCAACATTGAAAGTACAGAGAGTTCCCATACACCCCCTGCCTGCACATGGCACCACTTCCCTTAACATCAACACCGCCCACCAGAGTGATGCATGTGTTAACAACTGATGAATCTGTCCTGACACATCATAATCACCCAGAAGTCCATAGTTCACATCAGGGTTCCTTTCGGTGGTGCACATTCTATGGGTTGACTTTCTTTTTACGGTTGAACAGTATTCCATTGTATGGATATACCGCATTTTCTCTACACATTCGTGACTTGATGGACATTTGGGTTATTTCCATTTTTTGGCTCTTGTGAATAATACCGTTATGAACATTTGTGGTCAAGTGTCTGCAAGGACCTAGTTTTCAGTTTTCTTGCGTATATCCTTAAGAGTGGAGTTGCTGGGTTGTATGGTAACTCTTGAGGAACTGCCAAAGACACATGTCCCTTATCAGACATAGGATCTGCAAATATTTCCTCCCACTATGTAGGTTGTCTTCTCACTTTCTCAGGGGCATCTTTTGAAGCACAAAAGTATAAGGTTGGTTCTTTTGAAAGGCAGTGTATCAAAACATCAGGAGCCATTGATGGTCTGGTATTTTTAGTCCTGGAAACTGGCCCCAAGGAGATGATTAAGGGAAAGAAAAAAGCGATTGTGTACAAAAATGTTTAGGGCAGTGTCATTTAAAAGGAGAAAAACTGGGAACAGCTTAAACATGCATTTACCTAGAGGCACCTGGGTGGCTCCATTGGTTAAGTGTCTGCCTTTGGCTCAAGTCAAGATCCCAGGGTCAGGCTTCCTGCTCAGCAGGGAGTATGCTTCTCCCTCTCCCTCTGTCTATAGCTCTCCCTGCTTGTGCTCTCTCTTTCTGTCAAATAAATAAAAAAAAGATTTTATTTATTTATTCATGAGAGACGCAGAGAGAGGGGCAGGCAGAGTCACAGGCAGAGGGAGAAGTAGGCTCCATGCAGGGAGCCCGATGTGGGACTCAATCCCGGGACCTCAGCATCATGCCCCAAGCTGAAGGCAGACACTCAACTGCTGAGCTACCCAGGTGTCCCCAAATAAATAAAATATTTTAAAAATTTTTCATTCACCTAATTATGGAGTATTATGTTGTAGACATAAAATTATAAACATGATTAAACCTGACCATGTAGATTCATGAATTATGTCTAAGTGGAAGCAATAGGCTATCCAGTCAGATCAGAAGGAGGTGGGGTGGGGTTATTGGAAAGTGACTGCTGGGTGACAGAAGGGGTTGTCAGCAAACACATTGTGCAGTGTTGTCATGAAGCAAAATGTGAAAGTAAAGAGTTGTGGGGCCATGCACCAGGGCTGGACCATCATCAGGGCGTTGCTGTTGAGATACCTTCTGGCTTTTTCTATTTTTTAAAAAGATTTTATTTATTTATTCATGACAGAGAGAGGCAGAGACATAGGCAGAGAGAGAAGCAGGATCCACGCAGGAAGCCTGATGTGGGACTTGATCCTGGGACTCTGGGATCATGCCCTGGGCCAAAGGCAGACTTTCCTTTCCTGAAATGGAATTATAAGAAAAACAGTATGAACAGGTTTCAAAAAGACTCTTTTCTCAGATTCTAAAACAATATGTTTATTTAGACAATTTGGAAACTGCACACAAAAGAAGATACACGAAATCACTATTATCCCACTGCCAAAAATAACCACTATTAGCATACATTTGTCTTTTCCCCATGGAGACTCGTGTATATACACATATGGTAGTCTGTTACCTAATTGAGAGTGTCCTGTTAGGCAGTGTTGTAGCCAGCTCTGGAATGTGTTTCTTTAGAAATATCCTTAAATTCACCAATAGTAATAGATACAAAATGCTCCAGTGGATGGAATATTTCTTTAAACGTTCTTGCTCATCGGAACATTGCACTGAGGGGCAGCCTGGGTGGCCCAGCGGTTTAGCGCCGCCTTCAGCCCAGGGCCTGATCCTGGAGTCCTGGGATCAAGTCCCATGTTGGGCTCCCTGCATGGAGCCTGCTTCTCCCTCTGCCTGTGTCTCTGCCTCTCTCTCTCTCCTCTCTCTCTCTCTCTCTCTCTGTTGTGTGTGTGTCTCTCATGAATAAATAAATAAAATCTTTAAAATCTTAAGAAAAAAAAGAAACATTGCACTGATGGGGACAGTTTTAGGCTCTTGTGATGTATTGCTTTGTGAGTGAGCTGTCTTCTCATGATGTTATCATCAAAAATGGGTTATTTTTAATTGGCTTTAAACAGTTTACAAAAGCAGGACGTGTTCTATGGAAAAAGGTTCACAATAGAGAAATGAATATGTAAACTATAAGAGGCCCCTGACACTAAGAGTTGCACATGTACGCTTCTAACACACACATACACACACACACACACACACACACACTCATACACTCACACACAAATACACTGGTTAATTTTGTAACCAAAGCAGGATAAGATTGCATACACTTCCTAGCAGCTTGCTTTTTTCCACTCCTGTACCATTGGGGCATCTTTATTTGCTGGGATATACAGACCTACCTCATTCCTTCAGCAGCTGCAGAACAGCCTGCTCTGTGGCATCCATGGTCCCTTCCTTTTTTTTTTTAAAGAGAATTTTTTTTAAGCTTTTATTTATTTATGATAGTCACACAGGTAGAGAGAGAGAGACAGAGACATAGGCAGAGGGAGAAGTAGGCTCCATGCACCGGGAGCCCGACGTGGGATTCGATCCCGGGTCTCCAGGATCGTGCCCTGGGCCAAAGGCAGGCGCTAAACCACTGCACCACCCAGGGATCCCTCCATGGTCCCTTCCTTGAGGAACGTTTAGGTTGTTGCCAGGTTTTCACAATCCCAAACATTGCTGCAGTGAACAGCCTGGAATAACCATGCACGGAAGAGAGTTCTGGAAGTAGCAGTGTACTGAGAGCCACCCCACAGCCCGAAGTTTTGTCGTATGTACTTCTGATGGCTTTCTGTGCTGGTATCCCACCTCACGGACATGTCTTGCCTATCTCCTGCACAGGACCTCGGCTTGTAGTGGCTCCCCAATACCGAAGAGACGCCACCCGCTCCTGTGAAGGCCTCCATCTTCACCCCGCCTGTCTTGCTCAAGTTCCAGCCTGTGCCAAGACCCAAAGATGACTCTGAGAATGATCCTAGCAGCACAGAGTCTGTGCCCCACAAGAGGGGCCCATAGCCTCTTCCCTACAGACCATAGCTAAAGGAATGAATAAAGTTCCCATGGAGGTGCCTTACTTGTGCTGGGCTCCCTAGGGGCTGTGCAATCCCATGGGCTTCCTCCAGCCCTGAAGAGGCTGTCAGGGGAGTGCAAGCCTGAGGCCCCCTTGGCCTGAGCCTGCATACAGTAATTGGTCAGGTCTGTGCTACTGTGAAGTCCCCTTGCTTGCACTCTACATGGGAATTCAGCCACAGTGCTTTGGTTTTTTGTTTTTGTTTTAAAGCTTTTATTTAGGTAGCCAAAGAGCATGAGTGGGGAGGAGCAGGGAGCCAGAAATAGGGCTCGATCCCAGGACCCTGAGATCATGACCTGAGTGGCAGCTGGACACTTAACTGAGCCACCCAGGCGCCCCAACCACAGCACTTTGAAAGGAGTGATGAGACTGCTGTCCTTCCCTACAGTGACTCTGTGGCCCCTTTGGGGCCTCAACTGACCGCACTGAGTTGCAAGTCTATTAGTTTTTCCTAGCTTAGGCCCCTAAACCAGGCCTTATCCAGGTGTGGGTGTAGAAAAAGTGATCTGTTCCCTCCCTTATTTTCCAATAAGCTGGTATGTTAGGTTTTTTTGGTTTTGTTTGGTTGGGTTTTTTTTTTTTTTTTTTGGATTTATTTATTTGAGAGAGCACAGAGGGAGAGGGAGAATCAGATCCCCTGCCTAGCAGGAAGCCAGATGCAGGGCTCAATCCTGGGACCCCAGAATCATGACCTGGGCCAAAGGCAGATGCTTAACTGACTGAGCCACCCAGGTGCTCCTGGTGTGTTAGTTTTCAATTAACAACCCTAGGGCACCCCCCTATGGAATTTCAGAGATGGGACTCATCTTACACACCAGCTATAGAATCAAACCTCCGTGTGAGAGGAGTCCTCACAAAATGCTTGATGACTGCTGGACAGTAGCAGATATTTGTTGAACCTCTGTGTATGCCCCACACCTTGCTTGGGAGATAATAAACCAAATGGTTGGGGTCCTTACTCTTAAGGAGCTTCCATCCTATCCTTGTGGATGTGTATCTCACCAGTGCACAGATCAAATTAGTAACAGGGTTAGAAGTTGTGGTAAGTCCAATGGGAGCTGAGTATGCAGACACGTATGCAGTAGGTTGTCTGTCAGTGAAGGTCCCTCTGAGGAGGTGACATATCGAAATCTAGAATATAAGGAGGCAGCTATGAGATGAGAAAGGGCAAGGGCCACTGGCTTTGGGTGACTGGCTAGTGGTACAGTTGAGGAAACGGGGGGGGGGGGCTGTGAATGGGGGAAGGAGAATGCTATTTTGACCAGACATGTTAAATTTGAGATCAGTGGTACCTAAGTAGAGGTCAGGGGTCTGGAGTGTGGACATTTAGTGATAAGAATCAAGGGATACAAGTGGTATTTAAAGCTAGGAGCCCGGGCGAGATCACCCAGTGATCTAGGGCTCAGGCCGGAGCACTCGGACACAGCGATCTGGTGGAGGGAAGGGTCCTTAGGAAGACATGGAAGAGAGCAGCGAGGGCGCTGGACCCCGAGCCGCCAAGGCGAGGGGCCCGGAGGCGGTGGGGGCTGGACGGGCGGGGATGCTGGGCACGCAAGGAAGCAGAGATGAGGCCGAGACTGGTGGGACTCGCGGTGCCAGGCCTGAGAGGCCGGGGCGGGCTTGAGCAGGGACGGACCGGGCCGCGGCTGGTGCGCACGTGGAGGGGTCCCGGGCCCGCCTCCTGCGGCCACCTGACCAGGACCTGGGCCCCAGGACCCACCGCACCCCGTGCCCATGCGCACTCGCTTCCAGACGCTGCGCTTCCGGTCGGCCCTGCGCCCGCTTCCGGGGCGGGGCCGCGGGACCCGGAAGTAATTAGGGGCTCGGCGACAAGTCGGAGTCTGAGTTGTTGACAGTCGTTTCTCTGCCTTCGCTGGTCCTGGCGCTGCCAGCGCCGCCGCCGCCGCCGTCATGGGGAAGCGACAGCATCAGAAGGACAAGATGTGAGTTGAGCTGCTCAGCCTCCGTGCCCGCCTGGCCCGCCCCCCAGCTGGTTCCCAGAGCCACGCTCGGATGCCGCTGGGTCCGGAAAGCCTCCGCCCCCTCCCCGGTGGGCAGTGACCCCCCCGGGCGCCGAGGTCTCCGGCTGCGGGTTCTAACCCGTCGTAGGTGCCCTCCTCCGAGCGCGGCCTTCCCGCCCGGTCTGCACTCGCGAGCGCGGCTCCTCAGTCAGCCCCTTGCCTTCTTGTGTCTCTTGAAATCACTCCAGGCAGGCTTTTCTCCCAAGCCCAACTCTTGTCAGAATCCCAGTAACTTATCTGTTGCTAAATCTAGTGGTCAGCTCTCAATTCTCATTTTGTTGGGCTTCTCAACAGCGTGTGACACAGTTGACCATCTCGATCCTCCTGAAGCCGTTTTTCGGCATGTGGGACCCCTTATGCTCTTGATTTTCCTTCTGCTTCAGCGGCCACTGTCTTCTCAGGCCCCTTCGCTGGATCCTTCTCCCTCTCCCACAGACTTGGTACATCCATGTCCCACGTTTTTTTCTCCTTTACATTCTCCCTTGTGGTATCCCCTCTTGGTCAGCTGCTTACTCGGCATCTCCAGTTGGAGGTCTGATATCTCAAATTTATTTTTCTATGAAGATTTTATTTATTTATTCATGAGACACACACACAGAGAGGCAGAGACACAGGCAGAAGGAGAAGCGGACTCCATGCAGGGAGCCCGATGTGGGAACCGACCCCGGGCGGGAGGTGGCGCTAAACCGCTGAGCCACCTGGGCTGCCCCATAGTAGGTGTTTAATAAGCATTTGCTGAATGAGTGAAATGATTGAGTCATCAGTTACTTCCAGAGAGTCTGTTCTCTTTATAAAGGGAGATGGTAGTAAGATTCTCTCTCTCTCTCTTCTTCAGGTACATTACCTGTGCTGAATACACTCACTTCTATGGTGGCAAGAAACCAGGTAAGGCATGCAATCCTTCTGTTTCCCTTGGTGTGGATGTGTCATGGGGGAGGTTGTAATTAAGGGCGCTATCTTCACTAGACAATGAGACTGTAAAAATTAACAGTGAGCAAGAACAGAGAAAGTGTAGCAGATGGATGTGTTTAGAATGCAGATAATTCACAAAGGAGAAATTCACTAAACATATCCAAGAAAAATGCTTAATCCTCTTGGTGGCGATTTTTTTTTTTTTTTAACAGAGCACGCGAGATCGAGCGAGGGCAGAGGGAGGGAGAATCTCAGGCTGACTCCATGCTGATGTGGAGCTCAATCTCATGACCCTGAGACCATGACCTCAGCTGAAATTAAGTCAGCTTAACCAACTGAGCCGCCTAGGCACCCCAGTGATGATATTTTTGGACGTAGATTAAAATAACATTCTTTCTTCTGTCAAGTTAATAAAAAATAAAAAGAATGATAATACCCAAAGCTGTCAAGGCTCCAGTAAAAAGAGTAAAAATTATTATACACTCAATAATTGCTGATGGAGGTAAAACCAACATAGTTGTCTTGGAAAGCCAAGCCAGGCCCTAAGCAGGGGTGTGAGGGTTGTGGGAGAAACCCAGCCGCAGTGGCTTAAGCAAGTATGTACTTTGCCCTCTAAGTTCTTTCTTGATGTCCTCCACGTGTTCTACCTATTGAAAGGTTTTTAAGCCACAGCAGTTTTTGCACTAGGTAATTTACATGAAGTTTTTCTTAACATGGAATTGAATTGTTGGTAGGAACACCTACATAAAGTTATTTATAGAATAAACTTTGTTTTATTTTCATCTTAAACAGATATCCCACAAGCAAATTTTCGTCGTTTACCTTTTGATCACTGCAGGTAAGAGTTTTGAGTGTTCATCTGTTCCTCTGAGCTGTTCTCTGATACTCATTATTTGACAGTAACCTGATCCTTAGGGGATGCAGATGTGGTTTCTTTTTTTAAAATTTTTTAAAAAGATTTTATTTATTCATTCATGAGAGACACAAAGAGAGGCAGAGACACAGGCAGAGAGAGAAGCAGGTTCCATGCGGGAGCCCAATGCGAGACTTGATCCTGGAACCCCAGGATCATGCCCCAGGCTGAAGGGACGTGCCCAACCTGAGCCATCCAGGGGCCCCAGATGTGGTTTCTGCCTGTGTTCCCCCACCTAGATCTTCCTTAAACTGAGAGAAAGTGACCTCACAATGATAAGAACTAATACTTAGTGTGCTCATTCTTTGTATATTTATGCATTGTTTATTTTTTCCTCTTTCTTACCTTCCAAGGTCAGTAGACTCTGCTGCTAAGCGTATTTTAACTTGAGAGGATCAGTGTTTAGAAGTGGGAAGTCCTTCACCCAGGTGTCACATCCAGGAAGTGATGCCATTGAGATTGGACTCCAGGCCCATGTCTTTCATGCTTTACTTTTATTTTTTTATTTTTTATTTTTATTTTTTAAAAACTATTTTATTTATTTATTCATGAAAGACACAGGTAGAGAGAGAGGCAGAGACACAGGCAGAGGAAGAGGCAGGCTCCATGCAGGGAGCCCGACGTGGGACTCGATCCTGGGTCTCCAGGATCACACCCTGGGCTGAAGGCGGCGCTAAACCACTGAGCCACCCGGGCTGCCCATCATGCTTTACTTTTTTTTTTTTTTTAATTTTTTTTATTTATTTATGATAGTCACACAGTGAGAGAGAGAGAGGCAGAGACATAGGCAGAGGGAGAAGCAGGCTCCATGCACCGGGAGCCCAACGTGGGATTCGATCCTGGGTCTCCAGGATCGCGCCCTGGGCCAAAGGCAAGCGCCAAACTGCTGCGCCACCCAGGGATCCCTCATGCTTTACTTTTAATACAGAGTCTAAGTAATAGCATTGATAATCAGTCATGATACCGTGAGCCCCTCCCCCCTTCCCTGGGAACACAGGTTACTGGTGGGGATGGGGAGAGACCCAGCTGCAGAGCCACTGAGATGCTTCCACCCGCTGTGGCTGGTATGTGTTTGAACAGAAGGTGGGTCTGCTCGAGTAGTGGGGCTAGGATTAATGAACCTCAAGACATTGGGGGTTTGGGCATGGTCCATTTGGGCCTGAGTTTCCCCAAACTCAAGCTTGATCATCCCTGCTGGACACCTACACCATGTGTGTGTGTGTCCCATTGGGTTCTGATTCCATAGATGATGATGAGCCTTGAGACCTGATAGAGCTCTCCTAGTGATCTCAGCCAGACCCCACAGGGCGGTAAGGGTATAGGAAGGGCCAGGGTAGCAGCTACCTGATTTGCCCCAGGAGACTCCCATGTAGCCCTGAGTCAGGGCTTTTCCCTTATTCATGGCACTTGCTCAGGGAGGGTCAGCAGGTGAGACCCAGGCATCATTGGCTAGATTTCTCCCCACCAAGTTTTGTCATCAGCCTCATGGGAATGTGATCTCATTCAGAGTGGGGATGAATGGAATTTTATTTTTTTAAGATTTTATTTATTTATTCATAGAGACAGAGAGAGGGAGAGGCAGAGACACAGGCAGAGGGAGAAGCAGGCTCCACGTAGGGAGCCCGACATGGGACTCGATCCCGGGTCTTCAGGATCACACCCTGGACTGAAGGCGGTGCTAAACCGCTGAGCCACCCGGGCTGCCCAAATGAATGGATTTTATGGAAGTACTTTCATCCTTGGCTCCCAGTTCCTCCAAGAGGTCTCTAAACTGGGTTTCAGACACTTTAACTAGCTGGAGTTCTGGGTAAAAATGTGCTTTGAGGATATGCCCTTCAGGGCCCGTTTGGGAGAAGATGCACGTACAGTGTCTTGTCGTTTGGAGCTTACTTTGGCATTGGGTCCTGTTTCATCAGTCCCCCGCAGCAGGATCACCCCTGGGTTAAAGCAATAGGTTGGGCCAGAGAGGGAGGTGGCAAGGTGGCCCCTTGAGGACTTACTGCGGCAGCATCTGGGGAGGCGACCCTAGAGCTGCCTGGCTCTCCAGGTCCAGGGGGCTGGCCTGTCCAGACTGAAGTTAGAGATAACTGCTATATAGACAAGCCAGGTCAGCCAGGGCTCTTCATGGCTAGCTCTAAAAACCTCATGTGAGAAAAAAGGGTGTTAGCTCAAGGAAGTTCACCAGGTACAGTTTCCCTTCACCTGGAGGTTCTGCTTTTCCCAAGCCGACCCTCCACAAGGTAGCAAATGGCTTGTGGCAGCCCGGATCACTACAGACCCCTCTACTCCCATGTCTGTGTATTAGGACTTATCCAGGGCTCCTAGGACACATGCCTGAGTCATGTGCCTACGCCCTGGAAATGTGGGGGAACTGTGTGCACACTCTTAAGTCAGGAGCAAACAGGGCACCCCCAGACCACGATAGCTCCACTGGAGTCTCTTGGGTTGAGAGGGCAGTTCTCAGTAGAAGAGTGTGGCCTGCCTGCTGTGTGCAGTTTTAGGGAGTGAAATCCAGTCCTGCCACCCCAAGGCTACCTCCAGGAACCTCTTTTGGGCTCAAACGTGAAGGTACGTGTGTTATGTGACACAGCAGAGAGCATGGGGACAACCAGGCTGCTGTCGTCCCAAGGCCCCTTTGGCACCTCCTGGACCCTTGCCTTGTATTTATGGCTTTGTGCAGGGAGCTTCTGAGGGATGGGGGTGTGGGGGTCACCTCTGTACTGGCACCCCGAGGAGTCCCATAATTGGAGGGAAGAAGGGAGGAGCAAAGCAAGATGTCATGGGAGCTGCTGCGTGTCCTCAAGTGACTCTGTCCTTTCTCAGTCTCTCTCTGCAGCCCTTTGCCTACCCGGTCTGCACCCCTGAAGGCATCGTCTTTGACTTGCTGTGAGTTTTCCCTCGACTTTTGAGCTAACAAAAGGGGTGAGACTGTTGACACCCACAGGGGAAATGGGGATATGGGACCAGCTGGAGGGTTTGTGGCTTCAGGCTGTGCTAAGCCAGCCATGCTGCAGTCTTGGCAACCTGGGTAGCCCCGGGTGGCCTCTTGGGGACCCAGGAGGGACTTGCAGAGCCTCAAGGATGAGGCCACAGTGTTGCTGTGTCCCCTGGGCAGGCAGCCTTGGTGGGAGGTGCTGCCATCCCTGCCTGGGGTGCGTAGATCTCTCCCCACACCTGGGGGCCCTGCTGTTCTCATCGGCCTATCTATACCTTTTCAGAATGTTAACTGAGTACTTTTTACTTTATGAAAGCGGAGCCGTAATTTAGGTACATATTTTCCCAGTGCTTTGTTTTGAAGCCTGATGCTCAGTTTTATGTTCCAATTTAAACAAACTTCTGTAAGTTTTTATGTTTCAGTCTTTTTTTAGAAAATGTGGAAAGTACTTCAAAGTAAAAAGAAAAATTTACTGTAATCACACTATCCAGGATAGCTATTGTCAATATATATTTTTTAAGATTTATTTATTTATTCATGAGAGACACACAGAGAGAGGGAGAGAGGCAGAGACACAGGCAGAGGGAGGAGCAGGCGCCATGCAGGGAGCCCGACGTGGGACTCGATCCCGGGACTCCAGGATCACGCCCTGGGCTGAAGGCAGGCTCTAAACTTCTGAGCCACCCAGGGATGCCCCTATTGCCAATATTTATGCTTCTCTTTTTCTGAGTTTAGTTTACCTTAACATGGTTAAGGTAATATTGCAAAGATAGTTCTCCATTTTTCACTTAGTTGTGTCATTCAGAATTTTCTGGAAGCCTAATTTTTTAAAAAAGATTTTATTTATTTATTCATGAGACACACAGAGAAAGGAGCAGAGACATAGGCAGGGGGAGAAGCAGGCTCCCCTCGGGGAACCCAATGTGGTACTCAATCCCAGGATCCAGTATAACCACCCAAGCCAAAGGCAGACGTTCAACCACTGAGCTACCCAGGTACCCCTGGAAGCCTAATTTATTTATTTTCTTTCTTTCTTTCTTTCTTTCTTTCTTTCTTTCTTTCTTTCTTTCTTTCTTTTTTTCTTTCTTTCTTTCTTTCTTTCTTTAAGATTTTATTTATTTCTTCATGAGAATATACAGAGAGGAGAGAGAGAGAGAGGGAGAGGGAGAAGCAGGCTCCATGAAGGGAGCCCAACACAGGACTCGATCCTAGGTCTCCAGGATCATGCCCTGGACTGAAGGCGGTGCTAAACCGCTGAGCCACTTGGGCTGCCCGAAGCCTAATTTTCAATGCTGGTTCAGTATCTCATTGTATGACCCTATCAGCATTTTCATGTATCTGGATACGTGGAAAGCCATGTATCCAGAAACACTCCCTGACTTCTTTGGTCAAGACAAGGTGCTAACAGAAGTGAAGTGGAGCGAAGCCCATTTGCAGCTCTCACCTGGACGCAGTCCTCCTGGACTGTGGCCTCATCCCCGGGCTGCACCTAACTCCCCTCCTGTCTTCTCTTCCCTTTAGTAACATTGTCCCTTGGCTTAAGAAGTATGGGACCAACCCCAGCAACGGAGAGGTAGGTAGCTGGGCGGGAGTTTGAGGGATACCGGTGAATGCTATCTTTTCATCTGTCCTTTTGTTCTTTGGTTTTCTAGTATGCACGAGTGTGGTAGAGGGCTGTTCATAGGGCCTCGTGAGCGGGACTGTCCTCCCGACTTACCCACACGGTTCCTTTCTGGAAATGTTCCCTACATGTACATGCATATGGACAGATGTCCCTCTGCTTCCCTTGGGCCATGGATGCAGTCACACGCATGAACCCCTGTGTACCTTGCTTTCGTGCCCCACAGCATGTTGGAGATCTGAATGTCAGTGCATAGGGCCCTGCAGCATTCTGTGGTGGCTGCTGCAGTTTATTTGAAGTTACCTGCTGTTACTGACGGTGGACAGGGAGCACCCTCATGCACGTTTCTTTGGACACGGGTATGAGTGTCCTTCTAGGACTGCTGGGTCATGGGGTGAGTGCGTTTTCAGTTTTGGTAGCTACTAGCAAATTGTCCTACAGAGAAGTTGCCTGTTTCCCCCTACCTTCAACAACCCTGAGTACCAATTTTTTTGAAATTTTCATTCTTCAGGATGAAAGTGTTTTTTAATCTTTTTTTAGGATTTTATTTTTAATCTTTACACCCACAGGGTGTAGGCCTCGAACCCACAACCCTGAGATCAAAGTTGAATGTCCCACTAACTATGAGCCAGCCAAGCGCCTCTTAATTTGTATTATCGTGAGTGAGGTTAACCAGCTTCTTACGTGTCACACATACACCAGTGTCAGGAATTTTGTACCGCTTGGGAAGAGGACCCCAGAGCCAAGTTCCAGCTAATTTACTTTTTCTGTCCCCACACTGTGTGCTCCATCATAAACCCGTGGTGCTGCTACATTTTGCACATTCTGGTGGTCCCTTTATGTCTCGGCGCCCTCTCGTTCTCTTGCACAGGCCCACTTCTTCAGTTATTCAATTGCATCTACTTACTCAGCGAGGTGTTAGCCTGCCCTGCATGCAGGGCCTGCGGGCGGTCAGCTCTGGGAAAGAGGCTCACCAACAGGGAACCTGCGGTGGAGGCCTTTGGGCACATCTGTGGAGCAGCGCCACTGAAGCTGAGACTGGAGATGGGGGGAGATGGTAGCAGATAGTCCAAGGCTATGTCAGGAGGTCCTCGAAGGCCCTGGGGGGAGCTCAGGTTTGTTCTGACGGTGCTGGAAGCCAGGCAGGGTTTTAGGCAGAAGCATCTTGTGATCTGGCCTGTATGTTTATCTTTTTATATTATTTTATTTTATTTTTTTAAATTTTTTTATTTATTTATGATAGTCACACAGACAGAGAGAGAGAGGCAGAAACATAGGCAGAGGGAGAAGCAGGCTCCATGCACTGGGAGCCTGACGTGGGGTTCGATCCCGGGTCTCCAGGATTGCGCTCTGGGCCAAAGGCAGGCACTAAACCGCTGTGCCACCCAGGGATCCCCACGGCCTATATATTTATTTACTTATGATTTTATTCATTTATTTGACATAGAGAGCACAAGCAGGCAGAGTGGCAGCAGGGGGAGAGGGGGAAGCAGACTCCATGCGGAGCAGGGAGCCCAATTCGGGGCTCGATCCCAGGACCCTGGGATCATGACCCGAGCCGAAGATAGACTGAGCTGACTGAGCCACCCAGGCGCCCTTGGCCTGTGTTTTTTTTTTTTTGTTTTTTTTTGTTTTTTTTTTGTTTGTTTGTTTTCCTTGGCCTGTGTTTTAAAGGCTCACTTTGGCTGCAATGTGGGAAACGGGACTACAGGGATGCCAGGGTGGAAGGGGAAAGCAGCCAGGGGCTATGCATGAGAGGTGCTGTGCAAACTTGGATCAGGATGGAGGCAGATGGGGTGGCACAGAGAGGCTGACCCCAGATTGCTGTTGGGAAGTGGTCCTGAGGGCCTTGCTGGGCCATCACATCAGGCTCTGTGTTTCTGCAGGGCAGGGGATAGATAGCTCAATAGGAGCCTTCCAATGGAGTCCCATCTTGTGAGGACTGAATCAGTTAGCATGGCCTGTGCCAGAGATTCCAGGGACAGACAGGTGGAACCAGGTGATCTGGCCTGTGCTTGGCATTCCAGGCCAGCAGGGCTTCAGTGGGAAAGCAGATCCCTCAGAATCAGAGCCCCAAGCGGGAGGGACTTAGGTGCATGGAGTCAGATCAGGCAGTTGGGGCGGAGGTGGGATGAGGAGGGCCAGCACGGGCTCGATTCCCCCCACGCCCCACTTTTTAATGTTTTGTTTTTCTTAAATAGTCCTTCAGCAGAACACTAGGGGCACAGCTGTGTACTCACTACCCAGATGAAAAAATAATATTCATTTTTAACTTCAGACGTAATTGGTGGATCAGGGCTCACACTAAAAATGTGTGAACACTGGAGAAGTATAAAACAGACCTCCATCCTTGGCCTCTAGCTGGGGAGTCGCCCCTGTGAGCGAGTCGGTGTGCCACTCTGAGGATGGGGGTTCCACTGTGCAGCCCCTCTCCTCCACGTTGCTGCTGGGTCCCTGGGGGCCCTCGGGGCAGCACCTCTTTTTTTTTTAATAATAAATTTATTTTTTATTGGTGTTCAATTTGCCAACATACAGAATAACACCCAGTGCTCATCCCACCAAGTGCCCCCCTCAGTGCCCGTCACCCATTCACCCCCACCCCCCACCCTCCTCCCCTTCCATCACCCCTAGTTCGTTTCCCAGAGTTAGGAGTCTTTATGTTCTGTCTCCCTTTCTGATATTTCCCACACATTTCTTCTCCCTTCCCTTATATTCCCTTTCACTATTATTTATATTCCCCAAATGAATGAGAACATACACTGTTTGTCCTTCTCTGATGGACTTACTTCACTCAGCATAATACCCTCCAGTTCCATCCACGTTGAAGCAAATGGTGGTATTTGTTGTTTCTAATGGCTGAGTAATATTCCATTGTATACATAGACCACATCTTCTTTATCTATTCATCTTTCGATGGACACCGGGGCTCCTTCCACAGTTTGGCTAGGGGCAGCACCTCTTGCCTGTAGCTATGAAGGCTTGCAGGGTCGGAGACTTTTCCCATCTCTCTGCTTCACCTAGCCTCATAGGCTCGGCATTTCTTCACATCAGTCACTTACTTGTTATTAATAATTATTCTTTTTCCAGAAACTGGATGGGAGGTCCCTGATCAAGCTGAACTTTGCAAAGAACAAGGAAGGTGAGTGATCCCTTTTACAATCAATCGGAGACGGTGCCACAGACTCCAATGACCCTGCCTTTCACTGAGTTCTCTGCAGAATCCGTCATTCCTTTCTGATTAAGCCAGACACTTGAATTTTTCAAAGATGTAGGGGTGCCTTGGCTGGCTCCGTCAGTGGAGCACACAACTCTTGATCTCAGGGTTGTGAGTTCAAGCCCCACATTGGCAGTAAAGATTACTTAAAATAATAAAAATGGTTAAAGTGGCAAATGTTGTGTGTACTTTACCCACCCCAATTAAAAAAATATATATATATAGTTAACATAATTTTTCCTTAAAGGTCCAGGTAGTTTAAAGCTGGGAGTAGGGTGGAGGGTGAAGTGTTGAGTTTTGATCACTTCTTCCCAGAAGGGCAGTGGGGCCATGAGGGCTGCTCACAGCTGCATACAGCTGGGCCCTGTGGGCATGGACTCTGGCTGAAGTCCTGGTCCTCTCGTTGCCAAGGGCAGGAGCTGCTCAGGCTGAGGCCCGGGGCAGGTGGGTGCAGTGGTGTGATGGATTTGCTGAACAGTTCTCTGGGTGGGCTTCTCCTCACTCACCTCTGGTTGTGAAGCCCCACCTTCGCCCAGGGGTCCTGCTTTCTAGCCCCTGGCACCCTCTGGCCTTTTTATTTGTCAGATGCCAGAGCTGAGATGACCCCCACGGGCACCGACCTTGCTCTTGGCTCTTGGGGGCCTGGCACAGTTCCCTCGGCCTGTGCAGATGCCAGGTTGAGGCTGTCTGCACTTACTTGTGTGTGCATTCCGGGAAGATGCTGAGGCACCTGAAGCTGGGGCCTGACACTCCTGTGTCACCCCAGAGCCTGGCCCACAGTGGGTGCCAGCTCACCGTAAATGAGAGAATGGCCTCGACAGACCAGAAGCACAGTGCTTTGTGGACAGTCCCTGGAGGTTGAGGAGCTCCACGCAGGTAGCCAAGCCCCCTGGACCTTCTCTGAGATCAGTCAACTCAGGCCCACAGTGTGTCTCTCATTCAGCACATACTTACTGAGTGTTTCTCATGTGCAGAGAGCAAAACAGGCCATTTCCTGGAATGAAAGGAAGCTTGCATTATGGTGAGGGAGGAAACTGGAAAACAGTTGACCATAGTGTGTCAGATGCTGCCTCTGCCAGCAACTGGATTTCAGGAGCAGGGGAGGAGAGAGTCCTAGCAAGACACGCTGACAGGGTTTGAGTGGGAATCCGATGAGGGAGGAGGCGTGAGATGTTGGGGGAAAGCATCCCACTGCAAAGGTCCTAAGGAGGCCTGTGTTGCTGGAACAGTGTGAGAGTGGAAGCAGGGGGTTGTGGTTGGAGGAGTCTGAGTTGGGGACGGTGCAGAACAGTTGTGCAGGGGCCAGGCAACTACGGGTCTCTCAGATGCTGGCCAGAGAGGAGAGATGAGATCTGACTATTCACCTGTGTTATTTTCTTTTTTAAAATAATTTTGACCAAAAAAATAATAATAATTTTGACCAGCAAGCACCTTTTTTGCCTTTTTTGTTTTGTTTTGTTTTAAGTAGGCTCCACACCCAGCGTGGGGTCCACTGCAGGGCTCACATTCCTAACCCTATGATTAAGACCTGAGCTGAGATCAAGAGTTGGACGCTTAACTGACTGAGTCACCCAGGAGCCCCTTTTGCCTTATTGTTATTTTAGAAGATGTACTTATTTATTAGAGAGCGAGAGCATGGGTGTGTGCTTCCTTGCGAGGAGGAGAAGGGGCAGAGGGATAGGAGAGAGAATCCCCAAGTAGACTCCACACGGAGCATGGAGCCCGATGAGGGGCTCCATTCCAGGACCCTGAGATCATGACCTGAGCTGAAATCAAGAGTCGAGCGCTTAACTGACTGAGCCACCCAGGCGCCCCCCCTTTTTTGTTTTTAATTGAAAACTTCAGATGCATGAAAGTAGAGAGATTTAGTACGGTGATCCCCTGCCCTGTAGCCATCACCCAGCTTCAGTTCCCATCCACTTAGGACTGTGTGATTTTACCTGTGCTCCCCTGTGGCACCTGCTTAGGTAATTTTGAAGCAGATGATCAGAAACGTGTCGTTTCTTGCTTAAGTACTTCAGTGTATATCTCTAACAGATAAGGATTTATAATACTTTTTTAAATATAGTACCGTTGTTCCACGTAAAAAGTTAACAGGAATTCCTTAGTATCATCAAGTAACCCAGCCAGTGGTCAGAATCTGGAATACTTTCATGATCTTTTTTTTTTACAGTTTTCAAATCAAGATTTTTAAAAAATCCACACAGTTTTGTGTGGTTGGTATCGCCTAAGTCTCTTAATCTGTAGATACTCTCCTGCTCTTTTTTCATAGTTTGTTAAGACTTACTTGAATGGGCTTCCTGGCTGCCTGGTGCGGAGTCAGTGGGCACGGGCAGGGAGGGCAGTGGGAGTTTGTTGCAATGACACAGCGAGGGAATGGGGGTGCATATAGGAGGTTGGGGAATGTGGCAAGATCTGAGATGGAGGAGGGGTGGTGGTTGCTAGCAGCGTGTTGGGGGCTGATGGAGCAGACGACTCCAAGGAAGACCACGTAGGGTTTGGGTTTTGCGGGACGAGAAGGAGTTTCTCAGTGGGATTGGAACAGGGGGCTTGAGCAGCTGGCTGTCCCTCTGGGTCTTCGGAGGTTCAGGGCATGCTGACACAATGTCTCCTTTCTCTGGTCTCTTGGCGTGTGTCTTCTTTCTAGGAAAGTACCACTGCCCAGTGCTGTTCACCGTATTCACCAACAACACCCACATCGTAGCCATCAGGACCACTGGCAACGTGTACACCTATGAGGTGGGTTCTCAGGAGCTGCGGCACATACAGGTTCTTCAGGTATATGCCCCAGGTATATGCCTCAGCACCCAGGTGCTGAGGGTGCACCGGGCGCCGTGGGCACAGCCTGTCCCTGTGGAGCTTACGTGCTAGAGCCCTTCCTGTGGCCTCCTGACCTGAAACCTGGGAGGTTGTTTTATACTCGGGGCTGGCCCTGCAGTCTTCATCTTCGCTGACCAGGCCTTGGGAGGGAACCTGTGCTCTGATGGCAGGCCCAGGAGAGCACTGAGCCCCCCTCTGCCGCCTCCTGCTGGAGTCCCCAGGCGGAGCAGATGCAGGCTGGTGGGCAGGCCTGGCGGTGGGCGGGCCCGATTTCCACCCGCATCCTGCTGCTCTGGGCCAGCAGAGAGTACAGCAGCAGTCGCATGGGCGCTGTGTTGCAGGGAAGCCCTCTCTGAGCTGTTTTCCCACCTGTCCCTGGCTGTTGGCAGGGTCCGGATCGCCAACGCTGCCCTGTGGGGCCTGGGGGTCACTTTTGCCCAAAGCGTGCACAGATTTGGTTGGAGGGACTTGGTAGAGATGCACGGCCAGCGTTGTTGAGCCTGTTTGCTGATGTCAGATATGTATCATTGGAGTGTCCTTCAGTGAGCCTTGCTGAGATGGCTGATTCGAGTGTCGGGCTCGGCAAGCTCCGTCCTCCATGGTGGGGCCACTGCTGTGAGCCCCCAGAGAGTATGTGGTCGTGCCATCCTTTTCCGCACCCCTGGAATGGCGCCAGCCCCTGGGTGGGCTCCAGGCTGCTGGTGCCAGGGTGGGGCAGGCACCATAACAGTGTGCTCCCTCCTGGCTGTAGGCAGTGGAGCAGCTAAATATCAAGGCCAAGAACTTCCGAGACTTGCTGACAGACGAGCCCTTCTCTCGGCAGGATATCATCACCCTCCAGGTGGGCATCCCCTTGCCACTGCTGTTCCCAGGGAGGACTGGGGTGCCCCCTGCCAACCCCTCCTTCTCGCCCAGGCTCTGGGGCCTGCCTAGTTTTGGTTTCCCAGCTCTCCCCAGCTCCTGGCAGCACCCCCAGCTCCAGTGCCCCTGCTCTCAGTCTAGGTCTTCACATGGCTGCTCTTCTCTGGTTCTCACACCTCTCCTAATGCCTGTCCTTGCTCTGTCAGGGCCACTCATGTCTTCCCTGAAAGCCATCTCTGAATCCAAGTGGGAGAGGATGGGCTGGTGTGTGTTCTACCCCAGGGTTGAGCATAGGACGTGCCTCGAGGTGTCAGACCTGAGTGGGTTCCTGAAAGGCCTGGACTTAGAAACTCTGGGGGTGGCCTTCGTGGGCCATTCCTGTCCATGGCTTGTCCCCTCCTCGTCAGAGGTCCATGCACACTCACTCCCGTGGGGTTGCTTGCAGTCACCAGGGCCTGAGGACTGCGGGCTCTGTTTGGCAGCTGGGCTGGAGGGAGCTTGGGAGGGTGTGTGGGAGGCCTAAGGTGGATGCCCTGTGTCTCCCTACATCCCCATGATGAGGTCTGTCCATCCTGTGGCTGCCTAGCAGCAAAGGATGCTTGTCAGCTATGTGCTGAGGGGCAGGGGACAGAGTTTGGCGTGCAGACCAGCCATTTGTGCCACTGTCCCCACCCTGCCCCTGCTCGTGCCCTTGCCTAGGTGGAGCCCTCTCCTGGCCCCTGGTGCCGTCCATTCCCAGCTCGACACCCCATTCTCTGCTGCCAGCTCACTGTGCTGCACGTTTCTCTTTGCTGCAGGACCCCACCAATTTGGACAAATTCAATGTCTCCAACTTCTTTCATGTTAAGAATAACATAAAAATAACAGATCCCGGTAGGTACAGCCACGGCTGCTCTGGGTGCCAGGGTTTGGGTGAAATAGGTCAGTGCTTTCTGGGTGAAACCCTCACCTTGCTGGGGACCGGAGCACCAAGAGTCTAGCTCAAGCCCAGACTGGCCGATGCTTAGCTTCTGTGCTGAGGTTGGCAGCATCGCACCCGCCCACAGGGAGCCCGATGTGTAGAGTCCCAGCTGGGGCCCACATGCTTGGTGCCTACAACCTCATGCGCTGGTGGCCTCACTGCTGCCTCCTCCCCACTCAAGACTCAGCCCAAGGACCCCCCTTGCTCCTTAGAGATTCTCTGTTCCCATTGTGGGGACAGGTGGTTCATGCGGGCTGCTGGGTCCCTCAGGCATGGAAGCAGGTCCCAGGAGGGGAGGTGACTGTGGCCCCTGCTCAGCTAGGTGGCTGCTGCCCCCACCATTGAGTGGTTCCGGGCTGTGTCTCAGCCTCTGGGGCCAGAGCACAGCTGGGGCCAGAGCTCGGAGCCGACCACAGTGGAAACTGCGGGCGAGCTGACTTGCCACCCTTGTGGGCTCTTGCCTTGCTTTCTTCCTCCGCACCCCCCCTTCCCTGCTTCGTGGCCACCAGGAGAGTGTTACCGTGTGGAGGCTTGGGTAGTTGGCCTGCGTCCTGTCCTGGGCTTCCGCTGTTGGAGCTGGCTGTGGCCCCCCGTCCCCGTCGTGCCTGTCTGCGGACATTGCTGGGGCCATGGTTGATCAGGGCCCCCGTGCTATTTTGTAGATGAAGAGAAGGCAAAACAGGACCCATCTTATTATTTGAAAAATACAAACGCCGAGACCCGAGAGACACTGCAGGAGCTCTACAAGGAGTTCAAAGGGGACGAGGTCCTGGCGGCCACCATGAGAGTCCCGGAGAAGAAGAAAGTGGACAAGCTGAATGCTGTGAGTGGGCAGAGGGCTACATGGCTGCCAGCACAGCCAGCCTGCCCATCTCAGCCCCTCAGAGGGTCCTGGGGTACATGTGGAGGGCTGCACTGAGGCCGGGCCTCAGGAGGCCAGGGGTGGCAGATGGGCGTGCTGGGGGCCATGCATGGTCCGTATCTCACCCTAGCCCAAGCTCCGCAGTCCGGACTTGACATGTTGAGTGGACTGCTGCCTGGTTACCGTGTGCTGCTGCAGCCTCAGGTCTGTGTGTCTGGGGACAGCAGAGAGGGCAGCCCGTGGGTGCAGCTCCTGCCTAGAGGAACCTCTGGGAGAGACTGCAGGGGTGTTTGAGGATGCCATGGTGCTGAGAGGAGAGGACAGCGGGTGCCCCCTGCCTGGGCCTCCTCCTGAGTGACATGTTTGCTTCTCGCAACACTCACCAGCTGGCCCTGAGGCCCCCGTGTGCAGTGAGGGTGTTAGGAGTTGTGCCCCAGGGCAGCCCCAGTGGCGCAGTGGTTTAGCGCTGCCTGCAGCCCGGGGTGTGATCCTGGAGACACGGGATCGAGTCCCATGTCGGGCTCCCTGCATGGAGCCTGCTTCTCCCTCTGCCTGTGTCTCTGCCTCTCTCTCTCTCTGAATAAATAAATCTTAAAAAAAAAAAAAAAAAAAAAGGAGTTGTGCCCCAGCCCATCAGGCCCCAGAGCTGCCCCTTCCCCTCTTCAGGGCTTTGGGGGGATGGGGGATAGAGGTGGCTTTGAGGTGCCCTCAAAATTACCCAGGAAAACTTGCAAAAGACAGTTTGTTCACAATCCCACCTCTCTAAAACAATAGCACTTAGCATTTTGTCGTGCTTCCTACTGAGGGTAAGAAATCCCTTTTTTTCCATCACTGTCTCAGATAAAAATACAACCTAATGGGGCTTATTTTTCCCCTGACTAAAAAAGCAGTGTGTTCACTGTAGAAGATTGGAGCCTTTAAAAAGGAATTAGTCCCTCACACTGTGAACCTCAGGGGTGACCGGTTTCTACTTCTTATTTCCAGGGTTTCTGTTAACATGAGAGCCTTGGCCAGCTGGGCCTCAGCCTCTCGTGCAGGCAGGCCTCTCTGTGGTCGGTACCCCGGCTCAGTCCCCTCGTTCCCTGGGCCCTTAGAGTCAATGCAGGCCAGGCCAGGCCCCCCGGAAGTCCCTGCCAGGCTCTCTGGGCAGCGACAAGGGACAGTTTTTTGGCGAAGGGCACTGAGTGGGGCCGAGAGGCAGCATCCAGGCCCTCTGGCTTCCCAGGGCACCACTCACGTGCCCCCTGGTTCCCTCTGCAGGCACACTATTCCACCGGGAAGGTCAGCGCCTCCTTCACGTCCACCGCCATGGTTCCAGAGACCACACATGAAGCAGGTAGCTGCCTTTGCCCCTCCATCCCCAGCAGTGCTGCCTGACAGTGGCTGAAGGCCAGGCGCCGGCCCCACTAAGTGTTGCTCCCCCGTGCTTGGCTTCCACGGGTGCTTAGGCAGCTTGGGCATGGTCAGGCAGCGATGGGCCCTTTCTCAAAGGGTGTCTGTGTCTGGGCGGGCAGTGGCTGCAGTGGGGGCCCAGACCGGGGCAGGAGGTCCCTGCCTCCACCTGCTGGGGCTGCCCCACATCCCTTCCCCTCATGTTCTCAGCCTGCCAGGCCCCCCTGTCCCCTTCTACCCACCATCCTCCGTATCCAGGCTTAACCACTGAGCCCCTCCTCCTTTTCCCTCTGCCCGAGAACCTACCCTGTCCCACGCCCAGGGCCCATGAGCCCGTGCTCAGCGGGGCAGACCCTCAGGCTCCTGCGCCCAGAGCCTGGCGGTGGGGTTGGAGGGGTGTTGCCCCAGCTGGAGGGCAGCGCGGAGCTCAGGCCTCTGTTTACAGCTGCCATCGATGAGGACGTGCTGCGCTACCAGTTTGTGAAGAAGAAGGGCTACGTGCGGCTTCACACCAACAAGGGCGACCTCAACCTGGAGCTGCACTGCGACATGGTACGTGTGGCCGCCGTTCCTGCCCCGAGCCCGTGCTCCGTGCCAGGGTCTAAATATGCAGCCGCACTTGGTATGTGTTGCAGTAGAATGTTCCACTTGGTCTCTGGAAGGCATGGTGCTCATACCTCCTCCCCGGAGGGGATGCTGTTCGCTGTACATCGTAGGCCCGTGCTCTGGGAGGGGCGTGCACACCCTGCCCCCACTTGCCTGAGTGTGTCTCTGTGGCCCTCGCTACAGGGTCACGGCAGATGCACGCATCTGGTCGTTCAGCTTCACGGGTCCTGTGTCACCTTGTCGGGCCCGGGCAGCTGACTGGCACCTTGCACAATTAAGGCCCTGGGTGGTGGTTGCGATCTGCCCGTCAGCTGCTCGTCATCTCACAGAAGTATCTGGGCTCTTTTGTAGACGCCAAAGACCTGTGAGAACTTCATCAAGCTCTGCAAGAAGCAGTATTACGATGGCACCATCTTCCACAGATCCATCAGGAACTTTGTGGTGAGTGACAAGGGTCTGCACTGGCTACAGCCTTGCACCTCCAAAGGGGCTGTGTGACTCCTGTCCAGGTGTCCTGCAGGTGACTCCTGCGAGTCATAGCTGCAAACTCCTTCTCCTCGGGCGGGGAACCTGCGGCCTGACCCCTAAGAGTCCCCAGCCCAGCCATGCTGGGCTCGTGCAGAGCTGGCCTGGGAGGGCCCTGTCCTTGCTCTTGAGCCCACATGGCAGGTGGGCAGTGGCCTGAGGGCCAGGCAGGGCCTTGGGGGCACAGCTTGCTGCCTGGCTTTTTTGTTCTTTTTACAGATCCAGGGGGGTGACCCCACCGGCACAGGGACAGGTAGGCACTGGTGCAGGGGCTTCCCTGGCAGCTTTGGCTGCTCTGTAGGCCGCGGTGGGGGTGGGGGCCGTGCCAAGAGGTCCAGATGTGGAATCTGATAGGCCAGCTGCCAACCTGCTGTGTGACCTCAGGCACATCCCTTAGTTTTCTCATTTTGAGATGGTTGCAAGGCCTAGCCAGTTGGGAAGAAGCAACACGATGCCCTCTTGCTGCCCCTAGAGCCCCCTGGTGGCCTGTTGGCTCCTTGGGCCCAGGCCGTTCCCTCCCCGCCGTGTGCTGTGAGCGGTAATCACCCATGGCTTTCACTCTTTAGTCCTTGTACTGGGGGTCCGGCTCCCCTGCGGGGCTCCCAGCGGGCTGGGTGGGGCCTGTGGGGAGAGGGTGGTGAGGGTCCCTCGGGACCAGGGCTGCCCTCTGAAGGACTCGGTAGTGCCCCTCAGGACTCCGACACATTTCTGGGGCTGGGCTGTGTCCCACTGGTTGCACTTGGCTGGGACCCAGTCGTTCTGGCTGCCAGCCACTCTGCTTCCTCTTCCAGGCGGGGAGTCGTACTGGGGAAAGCCCTTCAAAGACGAGTTCCGGCCCAATCTCTCACACACGGGCCGGGGCGTCCTCAGCATGGCCAACTCGGGACCCAACGCCAACAAGTCTCAGTTGTGAGTCAGGGGGTGCCTGTTGTGGGGGGGTCCTCTGTCTCAGCTTTATGTTTAAGGGGCAAAGAGCTCAACCTGAACCCCTCCCAGAAGGTGGGCAGTACCCTAGAAGAGACTCATGTGCCACCCCTCCCCCCACCCTGCCCTGCGGTGTGTGCCTGTGAAGGAATAACATGAATGGTTGCTCAGACACCCAGGGAAGCAGGTGCTGGCCCGGGTGGGGGTGGGGAAGCCTCAGACAGGCAGTGCATTTGTAGAAACGGGGAGACTTAGTGAGGGCCCGAGGATTGTGCTCGAAGTACTGTGTCAGATGCCTGGGACACCTGGCCTGGTCAGCCGGGGCGGGGAGAAAGGGCCAGGAGTACTGGCCTGGGCGGCCCGGGTCCTGACAGAAAGGCAGGGGGTTGGGGGTGGGTGAGGGCCCAGTGGGAGTGAGTGTGGGGAGGGGAGGGGCCAGACCCAGCCTGGCAGGGGCAGGGGTGGCTGCAAGACAGTTTCCCGGAGGGCCCTCACCTGTGCGGCGGGCAGGACGGGGGAGGTGGGTCTGTGCAGTGAGGGGGTCGGTGATGGTGCATCGGGGGTGGCAGCTTTCCTGCACGTTTGATGGGATTCCCTTGCAGAACTGTCCGGCTGGGTGGAATGGGGCAGCCCAGGCAGCCAGGGTTTCTCTTGGCCTGTCTGTCCTTCCTTCTCTGGAAACTATAGGAGTTCACCTGCCTGCATTTCATTATTTCTGATTTTTAAAAATCTTTGGTTTCTGCTCGCTCTTTGCCAACTCTTTCCTTTTTGCTCACTTTTTATGAGGAGGTTTGTTATTTTTCTTCAGTGCTTTTAGTTAGGCACCTGTATTCAGGATATTTCTATTTAGAAAGATCCCACATTATATTTTAAAATATATTCCAGTATGTTTATCGTATGATTTTTAGTTGTACTGAAGGGAGTCTACCCTTAGTTCTTTGGTTCGTGGGATCTCCGGAAGTTTTGGAAGACTTTAGTTGTTTGAGGTGGGAAGGTTTTAATTTTTGTATTATATATTTATACATGGTTTCTGTACATGTGAGCCAAGTATTTTGTTTTCCTCCAGTTGTGCTGGCATCACTAGAGAGTAACCCCTCCTTTTCCTGGTTTGGTTGCAGCCCCACAGCTGACTCACCTCTGCTGTGAGGTTGCCTGTCCGAGCTGTGGTCAAGTGTGACTATTCGGTCCTGGACACCACAGGCACAGGGGAGCAGGGTGGGGCTAGGACCGCCCGGACCCCAGGTGTCCTCTCTTGAGAGGGGTCCCCACAGAGTAGAACACCTCCCTTTGGTACCCTGATGGTCCCCTAGCTTCAGTGACTCCTTGCAGGTGATTTTCCATAAATCCTTTACATTCTTTACGGAGTCCTTCCTACAGAGGAGGCGCTCCTCCTGGAGGTGTTCTGGGAGAGGCCTGGCTCCTTAGCCTCCTCTTCTCGGGCACATGTTACCTTCTTGTGTAAATCGGGGTCCCATTCCGGGTTCTCTTCTCCACGGCCTGTTTGTTATTCCCACACCAGCATCACACCTACTCAATCATACTGGCTGTCTATAGGAAGTCCTAGTAGGTGAGTCCACCCTCACTGTTCTACATTGTGTTTTGCCTTGATTTAGTTGTTCCCTCTTTAATATGAACTTTAAGATCATTTTTGTTTTTAAATATTTTATTTTAAAGATTTATTTATTTATTCATGAGAGACAGAGGCAGAGACATAGGCAGAGGGAGAAGCAGGTTCCCGTGGGGAGTCCGATGCAGGACTCAATCCCAGACCCCAGAATCACATCCTGAGCTGAAGGCAGACACTCAACTGCTGAGCCACCCAGGTGTCCCATTTAAAGATTTTATTTTATTATTTTTTAAATATTTAATTTAATTTATATACTTTTAAGATTTGTATTTATTTATTTCAAATATTTATTTATTTATTTATTTATTTATTTATTTATTTATTTATTTATTTATTTATTTATGAGAGAGAGAGAGAGAGAGAGAGGGAGAGGGGCAGAGACACAGGAGGAGCGAGAAGCCACCTCCATGCCGGGAGCCTGACGTGGGACTCGATCCCCGGACTCCAGGATTGCTCCCTGGGCCAAAGGCAGGCGCCAAACCACTGAGCCACCCAGGGATCCCCAGATTTGTATTTATTTATTCATGAGAGACACAGAGAGAAAGAGAGAGAGGCAGAGACACAGGCAGAGGGAGAAGGAGGCTCCATGCAGGGAGCCGGATGTGGGACTCGATCCGGGGTCTCCAGGATCACGCCCTGGGCTGAAGGTGGCGCTTAACTGCTGAGCCACCCAGGTGTCCCAAAAGATTTTATTTTTTAAAGTGATCTCTACACCCAGCTTGGAGCTCAAACTTATGACCCCGAGATCAAGAGCGTGTGCTCCACCAGCTAAGCCACCCAGGCACCCTGAACTTAGAGATCATTTTATCTAGAGCAGAGTCTATGGGGATTCTAATTTGGAGTGACGGGACATTGATATTTTGAAAGGATAGACATAGGACAGCTTCCATCTAAGGATGTGGTTTGACTTTCCCTGAGGGTATATTTTTGGTCTTTTAGTATGGTTTTAGAGGGTTTTTCCACCCAAGGCTATTCTTTAAGGATTGTATACTTTGATATTTTTGTGATCAGAATTCTTTTCCAATTCTGTTGCTCAAATAGAGAAAGTCTGTTTTATATCTAACTACTTTATTAAATTCTCTTATCATTCAAATAGTTTTTATTAAGAGTGTCTTAGGTTTTCTAGATAGGTGGTGGTCCTCTCTCTGGTGTGAACACCAGTCACCTCACATCAGGCGTGTAAGCAGAGGACGTGGACATCCTGCTCTTTACATTATGTGCTGTTTTACCATCTGATCAAATTTATTATCGTGCTACTTTTTGGGAGAGGCTGTGGGATTTCCAGATGCTTTTCTCTCAGCATCTGTTCCTATGGTCAAGATGGTTTTCTTTTCCTTCTGGAATTTGTGGGTATTACCTCTGGTTTGAGCAGCCTTGCTGTCACAGTTTTGGCCTGGAGTAAACTGGGCCAGTCTTTGCCATGCTGGGAGGTCTGCTGGCCGCTGTTTTAGGCCACATACTGCTGCCCTCACCCGGACCCGGATCTGGCTGGGCGGGCCTGAGGCCCAGCCCGCACAGCCCGCATGGTGAGCCTGTCCTCCTCGCTTTGTGGCCTGAGGTGGCTTAGCTTACAGTGGGCTCGGCTGCTTGGTAAGGTAGCTGGCCAAGGACAGCTTCTGCGGATCTTTTGTGCTCATTCCTTAGTTGCTTCCACTTCGTGGGCCACCTGGGGAGCTTTTCTTTTGCCAGAACATAACTGGTCCACCTCTAGGTTTCCAGACTTGTTTCCGTGGCATCTCCCTTCCCGTCCCTCACTGCGCCTGCATGCCCGATCTCCTTCATGGTTTGCGGAGGGCTTCTCTGGTTTTATGTTATGTAACTTGCCTCTGTTTCCATCTTCACTGACTTCCTCCAGTGTTTCTCCCTTCTCAGGCTTCCGTCCAGCCCTCCACCGCTGTAGACCTCCGAGTCTCTGCCTGCTGACAGCTCGCGCTTCCCCTCCTCTGTCCTCTGAGGTCAAAGAACTAATCGTAGACTTGGCTCACTCCTGGCGTGTCTTTGTTCGTGCTATCATTGTTTTTCTCTTCCCTTCTTTTTTCTTGAGGACTATTTCATTCCCTTTTAAGCTTCCCGACCTGTGTTAGAAACACCCGGCAGAGAGACCCACATGGTGGCCAGAGTCCAGGTGTGTGGTTGTGGGTGTGAACGTCTGGTGACTCGCCCACAGGCTGTGGCTGGTCAGGCCAGGTGGGCTCTGAAGGAGTGCTGTCCCTCACCGACTGCTCGTGCCGTGGGCTGTGGGGACGTGGGCAGCACCGCGCAGGGTCCCAGGAGGGCTGCCTGGCCCATGCCACTTCCTGGGGGGTGGCTTCATGCCCTGGGCCCCCCCAACTCCCCCCTGAATGCTTCTCTCCATCTTGTTAGACATGTTCTGTTCTTTCACTTGGAGCTTTCCAGATTTTTGAAGTTTGAGGGCCTGCCTGTAATGGCACACGCCTAGACTTGGGGTTCCTTTAACTCAGCCTGGTGGTCTGAGGGACATACTTAACTTTCCAGTCAGTATCCGTATGTTCTATTATCCTAATTTAGATTTCCTGGGTACCCTTTTTAAAAAATATTTTTCATTTCTTCCTTTTCTTTCTCCTGATTTGAAAGTTCTGTGTCACTTCTGGTTTTAAGTAGATTTATTTAAAGTCTGCAGTTGGTCTGCCTCCTTCTGTCCCAGACCGACCCTGCCTGTGCCACCCCCCAGCCCACATTACTAGAGTTGGGCATTTAAATGTCCCTTGTTGGGATCCCTGGGTGGCGCAGAGGTTTGGCACCTGCCTTTGGCCCAGGGCGCGATCCTGGAGACCCGGGATCGAATCCCACATCGGGCTCCTGGTGCATGGAGCCTGCTTCTCCCTCTGCCTATGTCTCTGCGCCCCACCCTCTCTGTGACTATCATAAATAAATAAATAAATAAATAAATAAATAAATAAATAAATAAATAAATAAATTAAATGTCCCTTGTTTTTGCACCAAATTAGGTGTGAAAATTGATTAGATCGGCATTTATGGATGTTGACCCATGTTCTTTGGTGTCTGCTCCTTTCCTGCCCGTCTTTCTTCCAGTTCATAGTGTCTTTTCCTTCAGAGGCTGTTGTGATGGGACTGGCTCAGGCGTCCAGTCTCCCTCTCCGGCCCTGGCAGCCTCTGCCTGTGGCGCTGGCAGGTCTGTCCGAGGGGAGGCTGGCAGCAGCTGAGGCTGGAGGCAGAGGCTTCCTGGCCTTTCCTGGGCTGCTGTGCGCTAAGCCACCCGGGGAGCTGGGGTCCCGGGCCCCTGGGTGGCAGGGTGTGGAGGCCACTCACACGGGTGAGCTCCGGCTCCCCAGAGCAGCTTTTGGGGGATGTGGATGCCTGGTGCGTGCCTAGAAGTCTTGGGGGCCAAGCAGGCCAGGTGGGGAAGCCTGTGGGCTCTTCTGATTGCCCTCCCCTCCTCTCCCAGCTTTATCACCTTCCGCTCCTGCGCGTACCTCGACAAGAAGCACACCATCTTCGGGCGGTAAGAGAAGCTGCCGTGAGGTCCGGGGTGCTGGGGCGGGGGTGGGCTCCTTCCCAGGGGGACCTGCTCACTGCCTGTCCCCCGCGTCCAGTTCAGTGCCCGTCTGCCCACATGTGTCACTGCTGAGGTTCTGGCCGTGGAGAAGTGGGGACCTGGAGCATTTCTCTTGGCCAGGGGGATGTTTGGCTCTCCGCACCTGCCGGCGGCCCTGCCCAAACTCACCCCCCTCGGGTCCTCCTCTAGATGGTTCCAGATCTCTGGTCTGGGCCACATCCTTTCCGTGCTTTTGTTCTGTGAAGGCCCAGATGGTATTTCCAGCTTTGTGGCTTTGTGGTTGGTCACACCCCTTACTCGGCAGTCAGAAGGCACTGCGGCTAGTGTGGCAGCAGCGGGTGTGGCGGAGTCCCGATAAAACATTATGGACAGAGCCGGGTGGCCCGCTGGCCCTGCTCTTATTTCTCCCCCCAGCCCCTCCTCCCCAGGCCATGCGCCTCATCCCTACCCCTCTGTCTGCCAGGCCACGGGGACTTGGCTCTTGGGGGCACCCTGCCCTGGTGCACATTCAGAGGTACCCCCGTCCCTCTGCCACAGGGTTGTCGGGGGCTTTGACACACTGACAGCCATGGAGAATGTGGAGAGTGACCCCAAAACTGACCGCCCTAAGGTATGTGCCAAGGGAGAATGGAGGGACCGCCGTGTGGGCCTGGCACTGGCAGACGGGTTTGGAGGGTCTGCTGCCTCTTGGCGCTGGCTCACTGCCTCCGTCGTCTGCTGCTAGGAGGAGATCCGCATCAACTCCACCACCGTGTTTGTGGACCCATACGAGGAGGCTGACGCTCAGGTGCGGCTGCCACTGGGGGTGTGGGGGCCCCCGGGGAACTGGCCTGGCCTGCGGGCTCAGGGCCACCTGTTTGCCCTGCTCCACCGCAGATTGCCGAGGAGCGGAAGAGGACACAGCTTGAGGAGGCAGCGGCCCCGGAAAGCACAGTGAAAACCCGCCAGCCCAAACCAGGGAGCCAGGGGCCCCAGACGTACCGCCAGGGGGTGGGCAAGTACATCAACCCAGCAGCCACGTGAGTGCAGCGCAGGGCTCGCCGTTTGCACGGTGCTCTCCAGGCTTCCCAAGGCCCACAGGCCACAACATGCCAGCAGCGGGGAAGCACCAGGCTTCGGGGCTGAGTAGTGAGCAGGTGTCCTGGGGGCCACCGTGCAGGCTGGAGATTGAGGACTCAGGTGGGGACTGCGTGGCTGTGACGTCACATGCAGCAGGTGCTGTGGGAGGGCATGGGCGGGCGTGGGCCTCCAGCTCGAGGAACTGGTCCTTCTCTTTCCAGGAAACGTGTAGCAGAGGAAGAGCCCTCAACCAGTACAGCTGTGCCTGTGGCCAAGAAGAAGCCCAGCCGTGGCTTTGGGGACTTCAGCTCATGGTAGCAGCAGGTCTGCCCCTCTGGATCCCCGGGGGGGACTGGGGACCGGGGGCCTGTGTCCACAACCCCGCGTTTCCTGCCTCGTCACCTGCCCGTCTGATGACACCTCGCTAAAGCTCTTGCTTGTTGCCTGAGGCCCCCATCCTGTGGCCTGCAGACCAGCCAGCAGTGTGGGCGAGGAGGGCCCCCGACTCTGGCTTTCCCACCCTCCCCCACCCCGGCTGTCGTCATCTCAGGGACTGTACTCAGTGTATCACCTGGGACCTGGTTACACACACAGAATCGCAAACCCTGGACCTTCCGACCTGGGGACTCGGGGCAGGCTCTGCGCTCCGCTGACACCTTGGGGGGCTCTCGCTGCCAGTGGCTTGAGGACCCTGCACGGGAGCCTTGCCATTAGTTTCTAAAACCTCTTCTGCTGCCTCTTGCCTGGACTCACTGGGGCCTGGCCACCCACCCAGCAGGGACTCTGGGTGGTCACAGCCATGTTCCCCATGGGCCTGCTCTGGCCAGCCCAGGTGCGGGCTGCACCCAGGACTTCCTGCCTCTCTGCCTCAGGACAGGCACAGGAGCGCCCGTGGAGCAGCTGTCCGGTTCCTGCTGCTACTGATGGATGCACCGAAGGCCCTGCCCAGCTGGCGTGACCCCCCTTCCACCCTCAGGGTCCCTCCTTGGCTCAAACACTTGACCCCTTGCCCTAGCACTAGGGCTTCCAGACCAGCCTCACCAGCGTTTCTGGACTTAAAAAAATCCCTTCCCTTTTTATTTTTCTATGTCTTAAAAAAAAAAACTTAGCACTTGCTTGCCTGCCCTTTCTCACTGTTCATTCTGGAGCGTGTGCCTGCGTGGCTTCCACGTTCTCGACACTGACACCACTACCTCGGCCTTCCCAAAGCACCTCTACAGGAGCGTGGGGATAGCTGTCCACCCCTCACCTCCACTCCCAAGACCTAGTCCTCGAGTCAGCATAGGCCAAAACCCCCTCCAGCTTGTCACACTATGGTTCTGAGGCTCTGTCCCCGGTTCTTCCCCTCGCCCAAACCTCAAATCCATCAGTGAGTGTCAGTAGTGGCTCCAGAATTTACCTGGGCTCTGCTTTTTCCCATCTCGGATCCTGAAACCCCAGACCCACGCCTTGTCTCACCTGCCTCTGTTCAAGTCCCTTGCACACACCCACACAGATGCCATCTGGGTCACCTTCCAGAGCTCGTCAGCCTGTTGGCATTTTGCTTCCCAGCAGTCAGTGGCTCGCCTCCGTGTGAGAACAAGGTCTGTGCCCCCCACGCACCGTGCCCTCCGCATACCCTGCCTGTGAGTGCAGCCAGGGCCTGGGGCTCTACAGTGACCACTCAGCCCTCTGTGCCCATGGCCAGGCCTGGCCCTCTTCTTCACAACCTCATCACGACCCCTCCCGGCTACATCCAGACATCTGATAGCTGGCGAAAGGCTTGTGTCCCAGTGTCTGTGCCCAAAATGCCTCCAAGATCCGGGTTCACCCAGGAGGAGAGGGCTGCGTGCGGTGACAGCCAAGTGAACACAGCTGCAGGCCACCGAGTAGTTGCTGGTGGCTCTGGGTGTGGGCGGAGGCCCTGGAGAGGGGGTGTCCCAGAAGGCTTCCCCTGCAGCCTTTGGGGGAGGGGGAGCCCAGGTGACCAGACCAGAGCCACCACAGGAGCTCGGAGACCCTGACCCAACACTCCCAGCAGGAAGCCGGGGCTGTCGGCCGAGAGCAGAGTGCCCAGACAGTATGTGCGACTGAGAAGGACAGGTCTGACATTGGAAGCTTTATTGTTCAACCTCACACAGACACAGAGGACGGAGGGCTGGACATGGAGGCTGAAGGAGGCTTGTGCACATGAGCTTGGCAGTCCTGCTCAAAGGGGCAAACCTTCGGACTGCTGTCCATCTGTCTGTCCCTCCAGCTGTGCCCAGTGGCCACACTCACCTGGCCTCAGGCAGGCCCGGGCCACCCTGGCTGCAGATCCACCCAAGGGTCTTTGACAAACAAGGGTTTACATTTCTGTAGGTTGTTCCGGAATTTAGTTTTCTAGATATTAAAACCACTCAGATTTTGTAAGTACCTGGTGAGGTCACCAGGTAAATTAAAGGACTTTTGGAAAAATTCCCATGTCTGATCTCACCTAGGATCTGATAGATGCCATCAAGAATAAGCGTTAAGGTACAAAAATACTATATATATGTAGATATAAAACGGCGACAAAACTAAACCACGCTTCTAAAGCAGATGTGCTGCGCCAGAAAACACTACATAGTTTTAAGTTAAATGCATTTATGGTCCTGGCATCCCCTCCCCATTCTTCAAGGACAAAAATACTTTAAATAATTTAAATAAAAGACACAGGATGATATTTACTGTTTAGGGATTCAAAAGGGTGGAACATTCCAACACTCCACCAGCATATCTGGTTGTGGTCTCGAGAATGTCCCTCCCTGGAGCCAGCTTCACGGTCTGTTCATTTGGTTTCGAAAGGAGCTTCGATTTTTCGGAAGACCAACAACAAAAAAAGTGTTAAGAGTTTTCGTTGGTATCAGTTACCAAAAACAAAAAAACCGAAAAGTACAAAAGAAGGCCTAAGACCACTGGTAAAAAGGTTTCAATGCCATCACAAAAGACAATACAAAAACCAAAGTGCTCAGATCAGAGGAGCAGTAAACTTGCCCAGAACATACAAAAGCTTTAAATAGGAGTCCAGTATGTACACAGCTCACTCAGAAGACTTCGGGGCGTCCTCGGTTTCCGTGAAGAGCCGGCGGGGGCGTCGGGAGCGCGGCCCTGTCCTGCGGCGGGCGGAGGAGCCGAGGGTTTAGGCGAGGTTTGCAGCGACGGGTACACGCTCCGCGGCGAAGGGGCGGCTGAGGACGGAGGTGCTTCGAGTGCCAGCTGGGGCGGGGGGGGGGGGGGGACCCGCGCGGTGGCCGGAGCACCCCGGCGCCCGAAGGCGGCAGCTCAGCGTGACCTTCGACACCGAGGGCGCTCGGGGGCTCGAGGCTAAGCTGTCCCCATCCCGGGCGGGCGCCGCATGGCCCCACCTGCCCCCACCTGCCCCGCCTTCCACCCGAGGCAGAGGCGCGGCCCACGGCGGCCTGGAAGGGGCTGCGCCTGCGCTCGGGCTCCCGCCTGGTCCGCAGGGGACCCGGGCCGCGGCCGCCCTTCCCTCCCCGCCTCCCTGGGCCCTTTCCTGCCCCGGGCACTGCCCCCAGCACCGGAGATCCCGGATCTCGGGGCTCTCTGCCTCGCTACTCCCGAGGCCTCCCAGGCCCTGGGGCAGCAGACCGGGCCCAGCGGCCGCAGTCAGGCCAGAACATTGAAAACCAAAACTTAACTGGGAATGGGTTTGGGCCTCTGTTCTCTGAAAATTGGCCAAAACCCTGCATAGTGCCCTCCCCTTGCAGAGGCACAGGTGGGTTGGAACTTAAAGTACGTGGTGGAGACACAGGACGTAGGAGACGGCCCAGGTCCCCTCTGCGTCAGCTCAAGGGACAGAATCAGTGGGGCGCAGGAGACCCATTTCAACTTATAAAGTTTAACTGTTTTGGAAGTTTAACCTTTCCTGAAAAAATGTTAAAACCATCTCCCAAATCTCAAGTTTGGAAGTTCATCCCGCCGGTCTGGCCTCTTTCGTATGCAAGAGTAATTCTTTTTCTTCAAGTACATCAGAGTAGAAAAGGAGATCCGATCGGACTCGGTCCAGTGCGTTAAACTCTGCGTGGACCACCCCGTCAGCGGCGGACACAGGAGCCCCGCTTCCAGAGCCCTGCCCGGCTGCAGCCCCCCCCCCCCATATGTGCACCTGCGGCCCCCTGGAACGGTCTCTGCTAACGCTCTCGCTTTCTAGATAAGGAAGCTATTGGCTTAAATAAACAAGATGTTCCATCAGACATATTTCTCTATTTATAGCTTATCTAAAATGTGATCAATGGGGTCTTCTAGTTTTGAACAAGGCTTAAAAAAAAAAAAGGTCCCTTGGCTTTTTTTTTTTTTTTTGACTTGTTGACTGTTTCTGGAAGATTCCTACATGAGCACTATGCTTTCACAGCTCATCTGCAAGCGGAATAACCTATCTGTAGCTTCATGAATTAGAAAAAAAAAAAAGTGGCCTACAGTATCCTCACTCCAAAAGAGGGGAGTGAACTCGCTCTGAAAAGCCCTTAACCCTGTGGTCCATGGAAATTCCGTTTGGTTTTCTATCAGACATGAAAGAGCGCAGCCAAACTCCATCTTAAAGGCATAGCTTAGAAGAAGGTATTAACTAGGCGGTTAAGTCATCAGTCGGTTAATTCTTTCTCTAGAACTTGAGAAGTTAGAAAAAGGTCACGGAAACATTTCAGAAACAGCCATGTACGTGAACAGGACGGAGGCTGGAGGGACACCTTACCACCGGATCGGCCGGGACAGGCCAGCCCGCAAGGTTCAAGTTCAAGAAATACTGTCATCCAGGATGCTCCTACGTCTCCGTTACATTTACAGTCTCTCGCAAAATAGTATTCAGAAGAGAACAAAGTTTTCACTTTACTCCCAACCATTGTCTTTGATCATGTGGGCAAGCTCAATAATAAATTTTCCTTCCTTGTATTTCTGACTGCTCTCAAAGGCATGTTCCTTAAAAAAGAAAAAAAGTAGAAAGAAGGTTTCAGGGCAGGATTGACTTCACTTTTCAACTTCATTACACTCTTGGCAAAGAAAATAAGTGTGTGGTATGAAGTCTCGCCAGGTGTCCCAGGGTGGGGGGGGGGCGCTGTCTGGGTGACAAGCCCCCGCGGGGCAGGGGCAGGGCAGCCCAACGCCAGGCGTCACTGCCTTACAGGTGAACTCATGGGGAAGGGTAGTGCCAGCTTGTTCCTGAGCGTCCACGTGTGCAGGGGAATCTGGGGGGAAGGAGGGGGAGCGAGGTACTCCCCGCAGGGTCTGTAGGTAGCAGGCAGGCGAAGGCAACTCTCCCGAGCGCCCTGGCGACGGTTCCAGATGCCAGGGGGGGGAGAAGGCCCGGGGATGGGCAGTGAGGGAGGAAGGGAATGGGGCCGGGGGCGGCATGTAGGCCCCCTGGGCCCATCTCCATGCTGGCGGCCGAGTCTTCTCATGTGTGATGGGCAATAGGGCCAGAGGAACCACCGGGAATTCCAGAAAGAGGGAGCACGGGTGGCCCTGCCCAGGCCGATCAGCGTGGCTGCCGAGGGCCACTGCGCCAAGGCGGCCACCGCCCACACCCACGCGGCCAGGGCACCAGGGACAAATCTGAGGTCATTAGGAGGGGTGGGGACGAATGGGAGCAGGGCATGGGGTGCGGGCAGAAGCTGCCCTGGGGCTAAGCTCACTGTGGGGGTCCGCAGGGTGGGGGGGCAGGCCTTGGTGGGGGCGGCAGCCACAGGGGGTCTGCCGTCGTCACTACCGCAGAGTAATGTCACCAGCCACCCTGGGCCTGGCCAGCCAGTGAGTGTCCCCCGCACGGGTGGGACACGGCCCCCATTCCAAGGGACCCTCAGAGGGCGCAGGTGGGCAGGGCGGGGTCTCACGGCCCTCCCCGCCCCCATCCAGCCAGGCTGTCACCCCCCTGCCCCGGGGGTGCCCAGGTGATGACATCATCTTTAATTGGCTCAAAAGAAATTCTATTTCAAGACACAGATTCTTTGAGGCTTTCAGTGGGAGGTCTTAACTCCTTTGCAAATTTTGTTTCCGTCTCTAACGTGTTTGGTTACTGCAGTGAAGTCCGTGCAGTCGCCGCAGCGGCCAGGTACTCACGTATTTCCACCCGAGCGTGGTCTTGCAGTTTTCACAGTAGATGTCTGCGACCGCGTGCAGCCCAGTGAGAAGGACCCTCTCCTCCGCGGGCCCGCAGCCCACGTTCACCCTGCAGGGGAGGAGGGCAGCGCTGGGGATGCGCGGTTACAGCCACCGCCACCTCCAGCCCGGGTGGTTCTTCCTCCAGCTAACCGGTCACCACAGGCACCAGAGCTCAATCCCCTGCCTCCCCCGCCCCTGCCCACCCCCCCTCCATGAGAAGGAACAGGTGGATTTCTCCGAGGGCGGTGACCCCGGTTCTGCTGTGTGGAGCGCAGTTAAAAATCCCCCCCCCCAAAGGGGTCAAGGCCACACCGCGTGCAAGAGCAGCCTTTCCCCGAAACCCGAAACCCGAAACCCTCGGACTGAGAGAGGAGAATTCCTTAAGATCATATAAAAACACTGGCTCGGGGCAGCGGGGGTGGGCGGCTCAGCGGTTTAGCCCTGCCTTCGGCCCAGGGCGTGATCCTGGAGACCCGGGATCGAATCCCACATCGGGCTCCCTGCATGGAGCCTGCTTCTCCCTCTGCCTGTGTCTCTGCCTCTCTCTCTCTCTCTGTCTCTCATGAATAAATAAAGAAAATCTTTAAAAAAAACAAAAAATGGGATCCCTGGGTGGCGCAGCGGTTTGGCGCCTGCCTTTGGCCCAGGGCGTGATCCTGGAGACCCGGGATCGAGTCCCACGTCGGGCTCCTGGTGCATGGAGCCTGCTTCTCCCTCTGCCTGTGTCTCTGCCTCTCTTTCTCTCTCTCTGTGACTATCATAAATAAATAAAAATTAAAAAAAAAAACAAAAAAAACAAAAAAAACAAAAAATACTGGCTCATCTTAGCGCACCGGGGACTCTAGCCGCAAGCTCGGCTGAGTTGTTAAGCGCCCAAGCGTGGAAGCAGTACATGACCTGACCGTGAACACAGCACGCCTCAAGGCCATTGGCAGCAGTACTCACACAGAATTGAAGAGGTAGGCTCGTCCCTGACTTCCCTGAAAAGACTGCAAAGAAGAAAAAGTTGTAACAGATTTATTGTGGCAAGATGAAAAGTTCTGCACTTGGCGATGAAGGTGGCAAGACAGGTCACGGAACCCAACGCGAGTAGAGGGGCTGCCTCGTGGAGCAGTTCTGAGCAGTGCTCGCGGGGGGGGGGGGCAGTGACCACAGGCCTCTGGGACCCTGCACCCCACAAAGGATTTTCCTTTTAAGTGGCTTGCTGGAATTAGGAATATTACAGGGGCGCTTGGATGGCTCAGTGGGTTAAGTGTCTGCCTTCGGCTCAGGTCGTGATCTCGGGGTCCTGGGACCTGCACCGGGCTCCCTGCTCCACGGCGAGTCTGCCTCTCCCTCTGTGATCTCTCTGGCTTACTCTCTCTCTCAAATATATAAAGAAAATCTTTATTTTTATAAAAAAAAGATATTTATGTATTTATTTATTCATGAGAGACACGCAGAGAGAGTCACAGACACAGGCAGAGGGAGAAGCAGGTTCCCTGCAGGGAGCCTGATGAGGGACTCGATCCCCAGACCCAGGATCACGTCCTGAGCTGGAGGCAGGTGCTCAGCCCTGAGCCACCAGGCGCCCCGAGGCACTTAGGTTCTCAGCAGGACTTTCATCCTGAGGCGCTCAGTTAAGGTCAGGGCGATTTCCACCTAGCAGGCCTCTGCTCTTCAGGTAATTAGAAAACAGCTTAATGGCTTTCAAGGCTCGTTCAAAGAAGCATCTGGAATCCCTTTCAGCCCACATCACCGATCCTCGTGGGCTCGCTTCAGAAGAAGACCGTGGTGGCGCCCAAGGCCGACACCTGCTCAGGGAGGTCACCGAGCCACACGGCTGCGTCCAGGGGCCCTGAGCGGCTGTGCCTGCCCGGACTCACGGCGCCGGGATGCCCACAGCCCGCCTCGGAAGGCAACCAAGAGAGCGGGTACCGTGAACAGCAAGGGAGCCTGGCAGCCGCGGGGGCAAGAGGCCCTGCCTGTGTCACCGAGTCCACTTTACATGATGAGCAGAAATGAGACAACCGCCACTATGACCTAGTCACAACCCAAGTGGAGGGGCGCCCAGGTGGCCCAGTGGTTTAGCTCCACCTTCAGCCCAGGGCCTGATCCTGGAGACCCGGGATCGAGTTCCCATCAGGCTCCCTGCATGGAGGCTGCTTCTCCCTCTGCCTGTGTCTCTACCTCTCTCTCTGTGTCTCTCATCAATAAATAAATAAATCTTAAAAAAAAAATAAAATATAGGGGATCCCTGGATGGCTCAGCAGTTTGGCGCCTGCTTTTGGCCCAGGGCGTGATCCTGGAGTCCTGGGATCGAGTCCCATGTCAGGCTCCCTGCGTGAAGCCTGCTTCTCCCTTTGCCCCCCCCCCCTCTCTCTGTGTCTCTCATGAATGAATGAATGAATGAATGAATGAATGAATGAATAAATAAATAAATAAATAAATCTTAAAAAAACTAAAACCCAAGTGGTTAAGTGTTCTCCTGAGTAAAACAAGAAGCCAAAGCAGAGATTCCTGAAAAGGCACAACCTCCTGACAGACTTTGCTTCTGAAGGAGGGAGGGAGGGACCCACACAGCCCAGGAAGGCAGACCCGTGAGGATGGGGGGTTCGGGGGGGGAATCATGACCACGAGGGCGGGTGGGAGAGAACTGTCCCACTTTCCTGAGGGAATGCTCGCTAATCTACTGTGTTTGGATGGTTTTAGATGCTCACAGGAGGCTGATCACAGCCCTTCACATACCACCAAAAAGGACGCAACTTAACAATCAGGAATCGGGCTGTTCTTTTCACTCCACGCAGGGTGCCCAGAGCCATTGTGTGGCCTGGTCCACAGCAGCCCTCCCAGGGATTCTTCTGAGTGATCCAATTTTCCCCCAAACCCCCAAGATGGCCTGTTTTCTTCTTAGCCAGTCTGAGCCTTTAACATTTCTTAATTTCCTCATTACCAAACTATTTCTACAGATTTTCTAGACTTCCTTATATTTTTCTAGACTTCAGTGTGTCTTGGCTTTACGCTGGCCTTGCTGCTCTGACGAGTAACCTACTCACCTTGCTTTTTGTGGTCTTCTGTCCTGGCTGCCTAGTGCTCCAAAACCCACCTCTGTGCAAATACCACGCCCAACATCACACCGAGATCACGGTGCAGTCACACTCAGTCACACACAAAACTGTCATCAGCGCGGCCCAGAAGGCTCTAGACTTCTAGGACACAACCAACCCAGGAAGGTTAAATGTCCACCTACTAATTAGGTATGATCATCATTAAGCGGATGGTGTCATTTTCCAGACACAAACCACTTGCCTTGGAGATCAGCTCATCGTGGTTGGCCAGGTGGGCTCTGCAGTGGACACAGCTGTACGTTCGGTGACAGTTTGGCAGATAAGCTTGGAAAGTTTTGGATTTTGTCATCTTCACCATCTCGGCTGGGCACTCCTCACTCAGCTCAGGGCTGGCCCTGGACGAGTTGCGGCTCTGCTGGATTCTCTGACAAAAGAAACACTGAAATATGCACGCAAGAGCCGTTGTTGTTTGGAGGGCGTGTGGCACGGTCCACACAGCTGGGCCGAGAGAAAAACGTCACAACCTGTCAACGAATCAAGACAAAGCGGTGGGTTATGGAGGGAACGAAATACTTCAAAGAGGCGTATTTAGGATGCGTGGGTTTTGAGGAATAGGGCAGGGGGTGCAGAGCTAGAAGATCTAATTCTTTAATATTAGACATAAAAGAATCCTCCTCACTGTTCTACCATTCTCTTTTTTGTTCTTTTAAGATTTTACTTATTTATTCATGAGAGACACAGAGAAAGAGAGAGGCAGAGATGCAGGCAGAGGGAGAAGCAGGCTCCCTATGGGGAGCCTGATGAGGAACTCGATCCCGGGACTCCAGGATCATGACCTGAGCCGAAGGCAGATGCTCAACTGCTGAGCCACCCAGGCGCCCCTCCACCATTCTAATGGTAGTTGAGAGTGGCAAGTGGACTTCTTTCACATATAATTTGAGAAAAACATCTGATTAAGTACATTTTATGCCACGTGTGGCTTCAGAAACAAAGAAAAAGCAGCCAACAAGCCTGCCACCTGAGTGAGGCCCCAGCAGTGCTGCATACATCTTGTCCCAGATCATGGAATTAGTGACTCAAAGCTCTATGACATTTATGAATATGTGTGATGGATCCAGTTTAATTAATCATTAAGAAGTTACATATCAATCCAGAAATAAACACTTTATAGGGTCAAATGATTCTCAAAAAGGGCACCAAGATGATTCAGTGGGGGAAAGGTCAGACTTTTCAAAAAACAGTGCTGGTGCTGGGACAACCGGATTTCCACAGGCAAAAAATGAAGTGGGACCATTATTTAACACCATATACAGAAATAAACTCAACATGGATCAAATACCACAATGTAAGAATGAAAACTATAACCTCCTAGATGAAAACATAGGGGAAAGTGTTCCTGACATGGATGTGGCTCGATTTCCTGCAAATGACAACAAAGGCACGGACACAGAAGGTAAAGGGAGACAAAAGTGGGGCAGGGCACCTGCAGAATACCAAAGAAAGAGAAATAAAAGTCTGGGAAGTATCCAGAAAGGGATACTTGCTTTCAACAGAGCAAGTTCCTAAGTAAGACAACAGAATCCAGAAGGCTGTCGGGAAAGGTACCTTTAAGATCCTGGAAGACATAATGGCTCTTCCAGAATTCTACATCCAGTGAAAATATCTATCAAGAACTCCGGAATGACATTTTCAGACAACTAAGTTTGACTTCAGTAAAATATCACTAAAGGAAGCGCAAGGATGTGCTCCAGACAAAAGCAAAACACCACTATGTAAACATCAGAGTCAAAAAAAAAGGAAGAGTGAGTAAAGAAGATGGTAAGTCCGTGGGTAAACAGGACAGCAGGATCTTGTAGCGCTTTAAAAAGATAGGACTGTGTGGGGCGCCTGGGGTGGCTCTGTCGGTTGAGTGTCCAGTTCTTTTTTTTTTTTTTTTTTGAGTGTCCAGTTCTTGATTTCCACTCAGGTGGAATCTCAGAGTTGTATGACTGAGCCCCACCTCAGACTCTGCACTGGACATGAAGCCAAATCTGCTTAAGATTCTCTCTCTCTCTCTCTCTCTCTCTCTCTCTCTCTCTCTCTCTCCTTCTGCCTCTCCCTGAACCCTGAAAAACAAAAGATATGACTGTACTACATGACCACGATAACACAGCTTTGATGAAAAATTTCTGGAATCCTTGTATTAGTCAAAAAAGTAGATATAAGTATTGGTTAAGCTTCAGATTCTGGTAAAGTAGTGTTGTTTTTATAGAAGTTTTATCAAAATCACAACAAAACCTAACTGTATAACTTCCAGAACTACAAAGGAGTCTATCAGTGAATGATAAAATGACAGTCTAAAAGGAGGCAAGAGGGATCCCTGGGTGGTTCAGTGGTTTGGTGCCTGCCTTTTGCCCAGGGCGTGATCCTGGAGTCCTGGGATCGAGTCCCACATCAGGCTCCCTGCGTGGAGCCTGCTTCTCCCTCTGCCCGTGTCTCTGCCTCTCTCTCTCTGTCTTTCATGAATGGATAAATAAAATCATTAAAAAAAAATAAAAGGAGGTAAGAAAGGGGGCCCCTGGCTGGCTCAGTTGGTGGAGCATGCATCTTTTGATCTCAGTGTTGTGAGTTCAAGCCCCATTTAGGCATAGAGTTTACTTAAAAAAAAAAAGGGGCAAGAAAGGAGAGGAAAAGAAATATGATATAAAGAAGAGGACAAAAAAAAAAGATGCACAAAGGAAGGACAATTTTTTTTTTTAAGGAAGGACAATTTAAGCCCAAATATATCAATGCTTATATTAATTATAAATGGACTAAATCCAAGAGTTTAAGGTTTCTGGATTGGACAGAAGACAAAATCCACCTAGATATAATCTACAGGAGACACACCTTAAAATAAAGACACAGAGTGGCTGAAAGAGAAGGCTAGAAACCTGGGTGGTGGCAATACAGAATATGGTTTATAATTATTTGCTAAAAATGTATTTGTTTTATGTATTTCTTATATGTATGCAATTCACAATAAAGAAGTTAAAGTAGTAAAAAGATTGGGAATCTAACTGGCTCAGTCTGTAGAACATGTGATTCTTGATGTTGAGGTTGTGGGCTTAAAGCCCATGTTGGACGTAGAGATTACTCTAAAAAAAAAAGAGTAATAAAAGGATAGAAAAAGATATAATATGCAAATAATAAGAGAATAATCACATAAATATATTAACATTTTCCTTAAATAATATTTAAGAGAAGGCTTTACTAGATAGAAAAATGGGCTATTTTGTATTGATAAAAATAGCAGAGAGACAAATAGTAAGTGTAAATCTTACTACCTAATAATCAAAATATATAAATCAAATACTGACATAACTGCAAGGAGAAACAGATAAACCTTTAATCAGAATAAGGTTACTGGGGGGATCCCTGGGTGGCGCAGCGGTTTGGCGCCTGCCTTTGGCCCAGGGCACGATCCTGGAGATCCGGGATCGAATCCCACGTCGGGCTCCTGGTGCATGGAGCCTGCTTCTCCCTCTGCCTGTGTCTCTGCCTCTCTCTCTCTCTCTCTCTCTCTCTCTCCCTCTCTCTGTGACTATCATAAATAAATAAAAATTAAAAAAAATTAAAAAAAAAAAGAATAAGGTTACTGGGGATGCTCAGCTGGCTCAGTTGGTAGAGCATGTGACTCTTGATCTCAGGGTCATGAGTTCAAGCCCCACAATGGGCATAAAGCTCAATTTAAAAAAAGAATAGGGGGATCCCTGGGTGGCTCAGCGGTTTTGTGCCTGCCTTTGGCCCAGGGTGTGATCCGGGAGTCCCGGGATCGAGTCCCATGTCGGGCTCCCTGCATGGAGCCTGCTTCTCCCCTCTGCCTGTGTCTCTGCCTCTCTCTCTCTCTCTCTCTCTGTCTATCATGAATAAATAAATAAAATCTTAAAAAAAAGAATAGGATTACTGATTATAGCATATAAATAGGGTAGACATTACATATTTATAATAGACCTAAAATATAGCACATACAATATAAATATATTTATATTTTATTATGCCTTTCAGTGACTGATAGAATGCAAATGATTACAGGCAGAGAGGATGTGCACAATGTGATGAACAAATTGGACCTAAAAGACATTGAGAAAACTAAATCTAAGAATTGCAAAATTCACATTCATTTAGAGCATGCAAACAGGGACGCCTGGGTGGCTTGGTGGTTGAGCATCTGCCTTTGGCTCAGGTTGTGATCCCGAGGTCCAGGATTGAACCCTGCATTGGCCTCCCTGTGGGGAGCCTCCTTCTCCCTCTGCCTGTGTCTCTGCTTCTCTGTGTCTGTCATGAATAAATAAATAAATCTCAAAAAAAAAAAAAAAGAAGCACACAAACATTTACAAAAGCCAACCCTACAACAAGTCTCAACCAACTTCCAAGTATTGGAAATACAGTATATTCTCTGACCACAATACACTTAAGTTAGAAATCAATAAGAAAAAAAAATCAATATGAAACCAAGAAAAAATCTTCATATGCTTAGAAATTCAGAAATATACTTCTACACAAATAAATGGGAAGATAGTCTGTCCTTATGGATTTGAAGAATACTGTTAAAATTCTCATACTAGGGGATCCCTGGGTGGCACAGCGGTTTAGTGCGTGCCTTTGGCCCAGGGTGCGATCCTGGAGACCCGGGATCGAATCCCACGTCGGGCTCCCAGTGCATGGAGCCTGCTTCTCCCTCTGCCTATGTCTCTGCCTCTCTCTCACTCTCTGTATGACTATCATAAATAAATAAAAATTAAAAAAAATTCTCATACTAAAAAAATAATAAAATAAATAAATAAATAAAATTCTCATACTACCTAAAGCAATCTATAGATTCAATGCAATCCCTAACAAAATACCAATGGCATTTTTTTATAGAAGAATCCTAAAATTTGAATTTTTTTATTTTTATTTATTTTTTATTTTTTATTTTTTATTTATGATAGTCACAGAGAGAGAGAGAGAGAGAGAGGCAGAGATACAGGCAGAGGGAGAAGCAGGCTCCACGCACCGGGAGCCCGATGTGGGATTCGATCCCGGGTCTCCAGGATCGCGCCCTGGGCCAAAGGCAGGTGCCAAACCGCTGCGCCACCCAGGGATCCCAGAATCCTAAAATTTGTATAAAACCCAACAGACCCCAAATCGCCAAAGCAATCTTGAGAAAGAGGAACAAAGTTGGAGGTATCACAGTGCCTAATTTTAAACTGTACTACAAAGCTTTAGTAATCAAAGAGGTATGGTACTGGTACAAAAACAATCAATGGAATGAACAGAGTCCAGAACAAAACTCCTACGGGTTCGGTCAATCTAAGACAAGAATATATGGGGGCAAGAATATATGATGAGGGATCCCTGGGTGGCGCAGCGGTTTGGCGCCTGCCTTTGGCCCAGGGCACGATCCTGGAGACCCGGGATCGAATCCCACGTTGGGCTCCCAGTGCATGGAGCCTGCTTCTCCCTCTGCCTATGTCTCTGCCTCTCTCTCTCTATCATAAATAAATAAAAATTAAAAAAAAAGAATATATGATGAGTCTCTTCAATAAAGGGTCTTGGCAACAGTGGTTAGCTATATGCAAAAGAATGAAACTGGACCCATCTTACATCATACACAAAAACAAATTCAAAATGGATTAAAGACTTGAATGTAAGACCCCAAACTGTCAAACTCAAAGAAACTATAGGCAGTAAGCTCTTTGATATCATTCTTAGCAATATGCTTCTTGGACCAGTCTCCTCAGACAAGGCCAACAGAAAATAAATCGGATTACATCAAACCAAAAAGTTTTTCCACAGCAGAAGAAACCATCAACAAAAGACCACCTATATAATGCGAGAATATACTTGCAAATCATACATCTAACAAGCAGTTAATATCCAAAATATACAAACTACTTAACATAACTTTTTTTTAATTTTTTATTTATTTATGATAGTCACACAGGGAGAGAGAGAGAGAGAGGCAGAGACACAGGCAGAGGGAGAAGCAGGCTCCATGCACCGGGAGCCCGATGTGGGATTCGATCCCGGGTCTCCAGGATCGCGCCCTGGGCCAAAGGCAGGCGCCAAACCGCTGCGCCACCCAGGGATCCCAACATAACTTTTTAAAAAAGATTTTATCTATTTATTTGACAGAGAGAGAGAGAGAGAGAGACCGAGAAAGCACACAAACAGGGGGAGAAGGGCAGGGTAAAGGGGTAAAGCAGCCTCCCCGCTGAGCTGGGAGGACTTGATCCCAGGACCCTGGGATCATGACCCAAGCCAAAGGCTCAACCAACTGAGCCAAACAGATACCCCAGGACTTAAAACACAACTTAAAAACAACCTGATTAAAAATAGACAGAGGGGGGTGCCTGGCTGGCTCCATTGGTAGAGTGTGTGACTCTTGATCTTGGGGTCATGGGTTTGAGCCCCACGATGGGTATGAAGCCTACTTAAAAATACATGGGCAAGGACACCTGGGTGGCTCAGTGGTTAAGCACCTGCCTTTGGCCCAGGGTGTGATCCTCTAGTCCCGGGATCGAGTCCCACATTGGGCTCCCTGCATAGAGCCTGCTTCTCTCTCTGCCTGCGTCTCTGCCTCTTTCTCTCTTGTGTCTCTCATGAGTAAATTAATAAAATCTTTAAAGAAAAATGGGCAGAGGACTTTACCAGACATTCTTCCAAAGAAGACATCCAGATGGTCAACAGACACATGAGAAGATGGCTGACTCAACATCACTCATCATCTGGGAAATACAGATCAAAACTACAATGAGCTACTACCTCACACCTGTTAGATCAGCTATTATCAAAGAGACAAAAAAATAACAAGCGTTGTCAAGGGTGTGGAGAAAAGGGAAGCGATGCCCAAGGGTCCATCAATAGATGAATAAAGATGTGGTACATATATATAACCGAATACTATGCAGTCATAAAAAAGAATGAAATCTTACCATCTCACCATGAAATCATACATGGATCAGCATCAACAGTACTGCACTAGGTGAAATAAGTCAGAGAAAGATAAATACCATACAATCTCGCTTGTATGAAGAATCTAAGCAAAAAATGAAAGGAAAAAAAAAAAAAACAGAAACAGACTCACAGATACAGAAAACAAATGGTTGGTTACCAGAGGGGGCAGGGGTTGGGAGATGGGCAAAATAGGTAAAGGGGATTACGAGGTATGAACTTCTAGTTATAAAATAAAAGAAGTCACAGGGATATAATATACCCATAGAGAATATGGTCAATAACTTTGTAATAACTTTGTATGGGGACAGAGGATAACTAGATTTGTGGTGGGGATCATTTCATAATGTATGAAACTATCCAATCAAGAAGATGTACAGCTGAAATTTTGTTTTAAAGATTTTATTCATTCATTCACAAGAGACAGAGAGAGAGAGAGAGAGAGAGGCAGAGACACAGGCAGAGGGAGAAGCAGGCTCCATGCAGGGAGCTTGACATGAGTCTCGATCCCAGGACTCCAGGATCACGCCCTGTGCCAAAGGCAGGTGCTTAACCACTGAGCCACCCAGGGATCCCTACAGCTGAAATTAATAGGATACTATCTGTCAATTATACTCTGATTTTTAAAAAAGCATAATCCGAGGAGAAAAAAGGAATGTACTTCTATATACCCATGGGTCTAAGAATAATGGAAATTAAAAGATATTTTTATTAATATTATTGAACAAAAAAAAACAAAAATTATTGAATAATAAAATAATTACTTTCTAGTACTTAAAAGGAAATGTATAATCTTATAGGATATATATTAGAAAATATGACAGGTGGAATTAATGAGCTACACATCCTTTTTAAAAAAGATTTATTTAAGATTTTATTTATTTATTTTACAGAGAAAGAGAGCGCACAAGCACAAGCACAGGCAGTGTCAGAGGGAGAGGGAGAAGCAGGCTTGGGAGCCTGATGTGGGGCTGAGCAGCAAGTCCGATGTAAGGCTTGATCCCAGGACCTTGGATCATGACCTGAGCTGAAGGCAGATGCTTAACTGACTGAGCCACCCAGACATCTTAAAGATTTTATTATTTATTCATTTATTTGGGAGAGAGAGCAAGAAACAGAGCCCAAGTTGGGGGGAGGAGGAGCGGCAGGAGAGGGAGAAACAGATTCCAGGCTGAGCAGGGAGCCTGAGGTGGGGCTCGATCCCAGGACCCCGGAATCATAACCTGAGCCAAAGGCAGACACTTAACTGACCGGGCCACCCAGGCGCCCTTAAATACTCCTCTTTATTTTTAATGTTTACAGCAGCTTTATTCATAATAGCCAGAAACCGGAAACAAGCCAGATGTCCACCAATATGTGAACAATTCAACAAACAGTGGTACGTCCATACCCTGGAGTACCACCCAGCTGTAAAAAGGAGCAAACTATTAACATACCCAACAACCTAAAGATTCCTTTAGGAATCTTCAGAGGCTTATGCTAAGTAAAAAGATAAAAATAAAAAAGCCAACCCCCAAAGGTGACGTACTACATTATTCCATTTATATAATATTCTTGAAGTGACAAAATCATGGAAATGGGGAACCGATTAGAGGATGCCAGGGTTAGGAAGTGGGCTGGAGGGCGGAGGAGCAAAGTGGGTGTGGATGCATAATGGCAACAAAGGGAATTTTGCTGGATGATTTTTTTTAAGGTTGACTTTTTTTCCCCCAGAGATTTTTAATTTAAAATCTATTAATTAACATATATTATTAGTTTCAGAGACAGAGGTCAGTGATTCATCAGTGTTATATAACATGCAGTGCTCATCACATCAGGTGCCTTCCTCAATGCCCATCACCCAGTTACCCCTTCCCTCCCCACCTCCCCTCCAGCAATCCTCAGTTTGTTTCCTATGATTAAGAGTCTCTTTAAAAAAAAAAAAAAGTCTCTTATGGTTATTCTCTCTGATTTCATCTTTTTTTATTTTTTCCCCTCTTCCTCTATGATCCTCTGTTATGTTTCTTAAATTCCACATGCAAGTGAGATCATATGATAATTGTGTTTCTCTGACTTATTTCACTCAGCATAACACCCTCTAGTTCCATCCATGTCATTGTAAATGGCAAGATTTCCTTTTTTGATGGCTGACTAGTATTCCAGCGTGTGTGTGTGTGTACGTACACACCCCATCTTTTTTATCCATTCATCTCTGGATGGACATCTGGGCTCTTTCCATAGTTTGGCTATTGTGGACATTGCTGCTATAAACACTGGGGTGCAGGTGCCCCTTCAGATCACTACAGTTGTATTTTTTGGGTAAATAACTAGTAGTGCAATTGCTAAGTCATAGGGTAGCTCTATTTTCAACTTTTGAGGAACCTCCATACGGTTTTCCGGAGTGGCTGCACCAGCTTGCACTCCCACCAACAGTAAACACCCATCTTTAGAAGTTAAAAAAGTAACAGAGGAACAACCCAAAGAAAATATGAGGAAGTAAATCAACAGGAAAAAATGTAATGCAGCAGACAAGAAAAACATGGATATACAAAGAGGATCAACAGAGCCAAAAGTTTGTTCTTGGAAAAGACTAATAAAATTGATAAAGTTTTGTTCCACTGATTGGGGACAGAGGGGGAGAAGAGGGATATAAGTAATAACCTGGCAAAAATGGAAATGGGATATCACTTTCTTTGGATGAGATTTATGGGTAAGAGGATGTTGTGATCAATTTAATATATTTTAAAATGTAAACCACACAAATAAATTCCTGGAAGAAAGATAAATGAAAAAGAGGACTCAGGAAGAAACAGCAAATCTGAGTGATCTGAAAAACATTAAAGAAATGGGAATGAACCAGCTAGTTTAACCTGAACCAAACCTTAATCAGGGCAGTGCAAAAATGGATTTCACTTTAATTTTCTTCTCATGCACTAAAATGCAAATACCCTAAATCACTTCACCAAACAAAATCTAATACTATTTTAAAAGAATAATAAAATACAATTAGGTTTACATTATCACAGGAATACAAAATCATTTAACCCTAGGAAATGTAGTTAATAAAATGTGCCGCCTATTATTCTTTCAATCTGTTTATCTCAATAGATGCAGAGAAAGTATTTGACAAAATTTAACATCCATTCACAATTTTAACAACCTTCCATGAAGACTAAGAATAAAAGGGAACTTCCTTATCTGTTAAGAGACATCTATAAAAATGAAACTAACAACCCACAGTGAACATAATGCTTAACGATAAGACTCTGAAAACATTCTCTTTGAGAGCAGGAATGAATCTGGACACCACGGCCTTCCCGCAGCCCTAGAAGTACCAGCCATCTCAGCAAGGCAACAAGGCATTAAGATTAGAGTGGAAAACAGACACTTATATACAACAGTGTAACAATCCAAAGTATCTGAGAATAAATTCAAAGACCTGAAACACCTCTACAGAGGAGTGTAAAATTCTGAAAGACAATGAGGAATACCTGAATAAATGGAGACGTACCAAGATCAGGACTGGAAGACACTGTAAACATGTGAATTCTTCCCAAAGTAATTTTTAATTTTTTAATTTCATCTATTTGTTTTTAAAGATTTTTACTTATGAAAGCAAGCAGGGGGAGAGGCAGAGGGAGTTGGGAGGGAGTGGGGGGAGAGGGAGAGAGAGAGAAAGAGAATCTCAAGTAGACTCCATGCTGAGCATGGAGCCCAAAGTGGGATTGATCCCATAACCCAGAGATCATGGTCTGAGCCAAAACCAAGAGTTGGATGCTTAACCAAATGAGCCACTCAGGTGCCCCTAAATTTTATTTAAGTAATTTCTACACTCAACATGGGGCTCAAACTTGTTACCTTGAGATCAAGAGGAGAGCACTCTACTGTCTAAGCCAGCCAGGCGTTCCCCCAAAGTAATTTTTAAATTAAACGTAATTCAAATCAAAATCCAGAAAGATGTATTGGGGTTTGTGGTGTGTATGTGTGTGTGTGTGTGTGTGTGTGTGTGCGTGCGCACGTGCACGCATATGCAAGTCAGGGAGCCAGTGAGAGGCAGAGGGATTGGATTCTCAAACTTATCCTGGAAGTGTCTACTTCCAGGAGGGACAAATTTTCCTCAACCCTCTGGGGGTCCCCGGCTGGGTCTGAAAACTAAATTGGCCAAGACGGATTATAGCAGGACACACAGATTTTACTGAACGTTTACGTGTCCCTGGGGCCTTCACTAGAGAATGAAGACCCAAAGCAGCAGCAGCAGAGCAGGAAGCTTTCCTACCCTTTAGACAAAGACACTGTGAAGAACGGACAAGGTAGAGGGCTTTGGCCTAGGGGGCAGTCAGTCCATGGGGAAGAAGTAACTAGAAAGACAGGGTAGGTTTAACAAGGTTTGTGCAGAATTCTTGGCTCCAGACTCCCTGTCTCTGGTGCTCCCTCCTCCTGGTGTCTGAAGACCTGTGGCAGGAAGCGGGGGCAATGGGGAGGTCAGGGTGGCCCTCCTCTGTCATCTTCTCAACTGCCTCCAGCTTAAGGTATGCAATATGCCATGGTGACATCTTTTAGGGTGGTGCATCCTGAGGCCCTTTGCATCAAAGGTCAAAACTCGTGAGGACGCTCTTGGAGAGTGCCAAGGAAGCGTGTGCTCTACCCAAGTCCTGCCATTTGCCACTGGCATCGAGACAGAGCGGTGCTGGCACGGGACAGGGACACAGGGTGACGGGACCTGAAAGAGACCAGAAACAGGCCTATGCAGAGACGGACACCAGAGCCCGCTCACTGGGAAGGAGAGGCTCCCCAAAATGGGGCTGGATGTTAGAGACGCCCAACGGTAGGACAAGAAAAAGCTGGATCCTATTTTATACCATAAACAAAAACTAATGGTTCATCCCAT